CCCACATGCAATGGATTTCCTGCTAGAAACCCCAATGTCGGCAACTAGCACACGTCTCACACCACACACCCTCCGAATTGCTGTGGCCCTCCGCCTTGCTGCCCCAATCCACACCAAATATAGGTGTACAGTATTTGCAGCAAGGTGGTGGCCGACAGGTATGGCCACCATGGCCTACTCTGCCAAAGCACTTGGGGATGGCTCTTGAGGCACAGTGAAGTTAATGACATCATCAATAGGAGCTTCACTGCAGCTGGATGCCCAGCTAAAAGGGAGCCCCGTTATCTAATGCCCCGTAACTCTGATGCTCTTATTGGTCGCCCAGATGGTATCACAGTGAACCTCTGGAAGAATGACAAGCAGTTGGTATGGGACAACACGTGCATATCAACCCTGGCTAACACCTACATTGACTTCAGTGTTGCACAACCAGGTGGCGCTGCCACTCACAGGGAATCAGACAAATCCCGTAAGTACAGAGTATAGATATTATATATATATAAATAAAACCAGCCTGAATGGTCCCCAGGCATACATGCAACTGTATGCTTGTGTTCCTCATGTGTGCCCCAAAGAATGAGGTGATTTGATAAAATACTATGCATTCAAATTCGCTCGTGTTTTTATATACCTACTATATAGATGTCACACCTGTGACAGGCAAAACTTTTTTTTTTTAAACTGTGTTTTTCATGTGAGGGAAATCTCCGAAAGTTCTTCACCGATTGCTTTGAAATTTTGACAACGTTGCATTCGAATATGCACATTTTGATATACCTACTATATAAATGTCACACCTGTGAGAGGTAAAAATATATATATTTTTTTAAAACTGTATTTTTCATGTGAGGGAATGGTGGGGAGGTCAAGGGAACAGGGAAGTGGGGAATGGTGGGGAGGACGAGGGGACAGGGGAGGGGGGGGGGATGGTAGGGAGAATGAGTGGATGGGGGAGTGGAGGATGGTGGGGAGGATGAGGGGATGGGGGAGGGAGGAATGGTTGGGGGAAATGATGGGGGAGGACAAAAGGACAGGGGTGAGGGGAATGGTGGGGAGAATGAGGGGACGGTGGAAGGGGGGGAATGATTGGGAGGACGGTGGAGGGGGGAATAGTGGGGAGGACGGGGAGACGGGAGAGGGTCAGGAGTTCTAGAGCTGGCAAACCAGACATATCTCTATATCTCCACAGATAATGGAACAACAAAAAATATTGTATACTCACAAGCATTGTGAAATTAAACATTAGAAACATGCACTTTCCCTTTTCTTTCTTTTTCATTTAACCAGACTGAGCCACAGCAATGCATGGCCAGGTACAGCTAGTGTATTAAATAAATGCCACATCATAAAAGCAGCACTGAACTAGACTTAGCAGCTATAATACTGTACATTACAACAAGCAATAATGAGAATAATCATACCTATTCAAGTCCAATTTCAGCTGTGAATTAATTGCCTCCGGTGCAGAAATGAGGTATGAGAGAGCAAGACAGAATCCTTTGCCAGATTCTATTAGTTGTTTGGTGCTCAAGTGATTATTCTGTAAATTATTTAAGATTTATAATTTTACATACAAGAAAAATTGATCTATATTGTACATGTAAACAGTACAGTATACGGGTGAATAAACTTTCTACTAAAATAATAAATATTAAGTCTTACAAAATAGATATTTTGTAAAGAAAAAGAACAACAAATTATTTCTTTCAACTATTACTGTAGAATATTTAAAATAAAGAAGCTAGTATGGCAAAGTAATCTTTATTATAAAAATATATATATAGACTATATTTTTCTATGCCTTCTATTATTTGGGGGTCAGAAGAAATTAACTTTTGCAATAAATAATGAAAAGGGCAAAACACGTCATGGGTTAAATCGATTGTAAAACAGAACAGATCCGGTCCCAATTAGTCAGTTCGAGTAGTATCATTGTAGTGAGTGAATGATATAAAAATATTGCTTATCCATTTGTTATCTTTTATTATGTATAGCCTTCTTTCACTATACAGTTCAGGACAGTATTCATTATCTTTTTCTTCTGGGCTGATGCCTCCCAACCACTTAAAAGTTGAAAATGACACTTAATGAACATGAAAAGGTACTTAATGATAAAAAGATAGTTAGTGATGAAAACATTTTAGAGTAAATTTGATTCTTTACTGTATCTCGTTTATTTCACCTCTTGGTACTGTCCTTAACAGTAGTTTACACAAGACAACTGGGACAGAAGTGTGCTCTTTTTACCTTCTTGCCACATCAATGCATATAGAAAAGAAGACACTAACTTTGTATAGCCCTTGATCACACCCACACGTAGATGCCTCCATTGTATAAGACATTGGAATGCCAAACTGTCTCCAGACCGCCACACGAGCCGTGGATTCCCTTGCTCGCTCTATTAAGAAGTGGCAATCACGCAGCGAAAATGTTTTCATGCACTTTTCAGCAAGTTGTGGCAGAAGCTGAAATTTATTTCATTCAAAAAATTATTAGTAAATATATTAATGTTAAATATGCTGTAATAATACTACTACAGTACTACTGATATTTATAATACAGTAATATTAATACAAATAATTATTTTTATTTGAAATTACACAGTACATCATGTTGATAAAGGCAGAGGGAGGGGGAGGGGGGGTTTGGACATTTCTGTGTAAAATATTTGTGTAAAATCAGGTATTACACGTAGACACTTAAATTATGGTACATCATAAATACACATCTCGGCTAGTTTGTCTGTAACTTTTAAAGATCCATATTTATAAACGTTATAAGTACAGTATAAACTTGAAAAGAAGTCATTGTAAACTACCCGAGTCTGCACCACTGGCAGTGAGCCATTGAACACCAACAATACATACCATTATTACAGGGAATTCTAAATGAGAGATGCTAAATAATTAAGATGTATTTATGTAAGGTAAAACACTTACTTTATAAAAAAATACATCTATATTTCCAGATGTAATAGCTAAAATTTTATTCAAGAAAAGAATTACAACAATTAGTGTTAAGTATGATGAAAAGCCCCTTTCTAGACAGTTCTTTAATAGCTCCCCTGAGCTTATGGCACTGATGCTGTAGGGAGCATTATCAATATGTCCCATTCCTCTAACTTTCTTTTTGAACTGAGAGCAAGTACCATGCCAAAATCAGTTTTGCATACTTAAACAGGTGGGGAGCACATGCGATCAAAGATCAAACCTCTACCAAGATGGAAGAGCCCATTAAAATTAATAAAATCACTAAACACTAACACTTGTCAAGAAATATTTAGAAATCAATAATTTACTGGAAAAACTAAACCATTGTTAACTATCAAAAAACATATGACCCAATATCTGGTGTCCAGCCCCAACCAAAGAAACAACTGTGTAATTACCTAAGTGGAAAAAATTCACAATGGATCCAAAACTTGTAAGTTGGCGCAGAACCAAATCCCTGGCTAGCAAACATGAGTTGACAACTTGGAGCCCAATTTAACCATTCGTTGAGGAAAGCCTGCACACTAATTCCCTGATGTTGGAATTGGCAGAGGATCCCTTGAATTAACCTTGTAACTATCTTGGGTCTCAAGTTCATTCCAAAAAGTAGAGCCTGAAAGTAGTAATCTGTCCCCTACTCAAACCCGCAGCAAATCACTGAACAGCAGATAGATTGGCACACAGCAGAAGGCATCCTGCAGTCCCAGGTAAATGAGACAAGACTGGCTTGAAAGTAGTTGTTGAGACAAGGACATGGAGGAGATTCTGAACCATTCTGAACTATTACAACTTTTTATTGAAAAAAAACTTAATAATGGCTGATAAGAGGAGGAAGACTGTTGGTGATGCACGATTGCCAAGGGAGACACAATCAATTACCAAGAAACAAAATTAGAGATTATCAAGCACTCTGAAAAGTAAAAAAATCAACAGAGATTGCGCTTGTGTTTGGTGTTAGCCATTCCACAGATAGGGCTACAGTATTATCAAGGACAATACTTGAATATTAGAGCATGTGAAGGGTTCTGCACCACTGTAATTAACAATATTGACAATAAAGAGAGACTCTTGATATTTATAACAGAAAAGCTACTAAAATCTACAGCAACCAGTGACAATGAGGATGACCCAGCAGTCTCTAGTGCTCTCTCCAGATATTAGACCTCATCTGCTCATCACTGTCCAGTAATTGCCAATCCTGACAAGTAGGACAATTCCATCAAAGTAAATAATATGCTGTTTCCTATATTTCTATAAATTGCGAGTTTTATAAGTTGATTTTTAGTGGTCCGTGTATGCATTCCCTCTTTGTAGTATTACACTTATGTGAAATCTAGTTATGACATAGAAATGACCAATTTAACAAATATCATTTTGGAATACATTCCTCTCATTAGTTCGGGATTCCCTGTACAATAAAATATAAAATACACTACAAGTATATCATTATTCAAATATATATAGCTCAAAATATTAAATAAGTTAAAAATATTATACCCTAATGCAAATTTTTGTATACAGTATTAACTTACCATAAAATCAGGACTATCAGGTAGATCCCTGTCCCCTGCCCACCATGACTGCATACGAGAACATCCGTACATAAACACATTCTTTTGACGTGAATGACCATGAAAGTCACAAAATACACGGACTTTAAGCTTTGCTATTGTTGTTTGGTATTCTAGAAGAGCCTGTAGGACAAGAAGAATTGTGATATCTTTTCTACAATTTTTATTTTTGTTATTTATATATACTGTACAAGAGTTCTTACACTCTTGTACATCCACTAGCATACGTAGCATTTTGGGCAATTCCTTAATCCTATGTTCACCGGAATACAACTCCGCCAAATTGGTTAACAATGAGGTACCCATTTTACTGTTGGGTAAACAGAGGCTACAGTTAAGGATTGACGCCCAGTAAATCCTCCCAGACCAGGATACGAACCCAGGACAAAGCGCTCGCAAAACGCCAGGGGAGTGTCTTAACCACTACACCACGGGGACTGCTAAATTAGACAGGTTAGAATTAGGTTTAAAATACAGCACTGTAATACAAATTTCTGATAATTCACAAAATAGTACTGTACTGTGAAACAGCTTCATTGTAAATACTGTAATTCTTTGCTGTTTCAAAGATTATGTTAAATATCATCTAAAAGTTAATTACTGCTTAAAATATAACACTGGAAAGTACAGATATTTTTGTCACAGTTGATTGAGGTAGTTATCCTAAATCCCCTATGTCAGGCATAGTGCACAATATACAAAAATATGAAATACAGTGTACTACAGTCTTACAAATTCAAATCACCCTCCATTTTATGATACTGTAGGACATTATGAAATACAGGGTATACTGAAACTATTAAAATTGCAGATTTTATAATGTAATACATTAGTTGTCTATGCCGAACATTATCACCTTTATATTGTACATCACTTGTTATATTTCTTGAGCAGCTCTCATATAATTTACCACTAACTTACCGTACTTCTCATTTACTATTAAGTGTTTAACTCTATTTTAAAAATTATTAATACAAAAAAAATCAAAGGAAGGTAGTGGTAGGAGAAAAGCACACACAAACTGTATTAGAGGGGACCTAAACATTCCCTCTAATGCGTTATGTGTGGTTTCCTAGTAGACTATGGGTCCCCCTTCTTCCAGCCAGAGGTGGTACTCCCTTCCCTATTTTATTAATAATTATATGAATTATTCTAAGTTTTGTCTGAAATGTTTTGCATAGCAGGCTTCAGTTTGTGTGCAACCCCTGCAACCACAAATACAATGCTGCCTTGTGTTCTTTGTATGCATACACTATGAATATTATTATTATTATTATTATTATTATTATTATTATTATTAATATAAATGACCCCTTATCTCTATTTACATGGGTAGGTGGTTTTCTGTGAGATTGGGGGGTGTGAGTGGGTGGGCAGGTGCTGTGTGAGTAGGTGGGTGGGCAGGTGCTGCGTGAGTGGGTGGGTGGGCAGGTGCTGCGTGAGTGGGTGGGTGGGCAGATGCTGCGTGAGTGGGTGGGTGGGCAGATGCTGTGTGAGTAGAGTGGGTGGGTGCTGTGTGAGTAGAGTGGGTGGGTGCTGTGTGAGTAGAGTGGGTGGGTGCTGTGTGAGTAGAGTGGGTGGGTGCTGTGTGAGTAGAGTGGGTGGGTGCTGTGTGAATAGGTGGGTGGGTGCTGTTTTTCTATTATTATTTTCGTGGGTGCTGTGTGAGTGGAATGAGCAGTGTGAGTGGGTGGGTGGAATGAGCAGTGCGAGTGGGTGGAATGAGCAGTGCGAAAGGGTGGAATGAGCAGTGCGAGTGGGTGGAATGAGCAGTGCGAGTGGGTGGAATGAGCAGTGCGAGTGGATGGAATGAGCAGTGCGAGTGGGTGGAATGAGCAGTGCGAGTGGGTGGAATGAGCAGTGCGAGTGGGTGGAATGAGCAGTGCGAGTGGGTGGAATGAGCAGTGCGAGTGGATGGAATGAGCAGTGCGAGTGGGTGGAATGAGCAGTGCGAGTGGATGGAATGAGCAGTGCGAGTGGGTGGAATGAGTGGGTGGAATGATCAGTGCTAGTGGGTGGGTGGATGTCTGTCCCCATTCCTGAATATTGGACCTAGATTTGTTTGTGTTTTTCCAGATTTCTGGTTGATCTTGTGCCTTTAGTGTTAACATATAGTTAATAGATAACCACAAATCCTTCAATAACCACAGTGGTCTGCTCCTACTGCTTAGGCTACATCCAGTTTCACCAGGAGCTCACAAGTACGTGCAGTTATGTTATGTATGTCTTTTCATCTATGTATTTACTCTATTTCAATGTAAAAACATAAACAATGGCTTCATATAATAAATATAATTGAAAATTACAGAAAATAAATTATAAAGTTAAATTTTTATATGAGGGACATTACAGAAATTGAACCATACATACACTGGATATCAGAAATACATACAATTTGGAAAGACATGGTCAGACGTTAGACAACTTAAAGATATGAACCCTTTTGGTCATAACTTGCCTTGGCATGGTAGATGGTAGGATGTAAGATAGGATCAGGTGCTCTCCATCTACGATTTAAATCTTCATCTGTCAGGCCACAACGTTGACTAAGAAACAAAACGGAAACATTATTATAAAAAAATGTAAACTTAATCTATACGTCATTATGAAGTAGCCAATAATTGACTGTTGCTAAGTGACTCTCCTAAAATGACTAAATACAATATCCATGTCCTCTATATGCCTTTTCCTGCTTGGTAAGAGGATAAATATAAGAATTTAACAGAGCCTTTATTTGACATGGCCAAGCATGTCAAGATAATGTAATGTGTATTTGATTCATACACAACATAAAATAATGCCCTTATAAGATCCCACATTCTTCCCCTATTTCCCTTTCCCTTATCCTGTATATTAGTACCAGCTTGTTTCTAGATTAGTACTAGATTGTTTCCTTCAAGGAGTGCCTGACCAACCGGTCTGTGGTGGGTATGTGGGCCTGCGGGCCGCTCCAAGCAACAGCCTGGTGGACCAAACTCTCACAAGTCAAGCCTGGCCTCGGGCCGGGCTTGGGGAGTAGAACAACTCCCAGAACCCCATCAACCAGGTATCAACCAGGTAACCAGCGTGGTCTTGGTCAGATCATCTGGCTCCTCACCCTCCTGTCACGTCATCTGGCACACATCTGTCATTATGGCCACTATAACCTCACCCCCATATCTAAGCTGGTAGGGAGGGGAGGGAGATGAAACTGGAAGGAAAGGGAGATGAAGCTGGTAGGGAGTTTCATCACCCTCCCCTCCCTACCAGCTTCACCCCCTCCCCTCCCTAATTTGCGTAATAGTGGCTTTAGGCACTGTATGTACTAGCTCTATCTATAAACTCATCAATATTTGTATCACCCCTTGTATGTATGTACTTTACCCGAATAAACATTTGGAAAGGAGGGAGATGAAACTGGTAGGGAAGGGAGGGTGATGAAACTGGTAGAAAGGAAAAAAACTGGCAGGGAAAGAGGAAGATAAGCTGCTAGGGAGATGAAGATGGCAGAGAGGGAGGAATGGAGATAAGCCGGAAGGGAAGACGTGAGATAAGCTGGTAGGGACAGAGGTGAACTGGTAGGGAGGAAGGGAGAGGAGGGTGGCAGGGATTGAAGGCAAGGAATAATACCACTGCCTACACCCTTCTTATCTTGAGATGATTTCGGGGATTAGCGTCCCCTCAACCAGGCCTCCTTTTTGTTACACATCCCCAGGAAGCAGCTCGTGGCAGGTGTCTAACTCCCAGGTACCTATTTACTGCTAGGTAACAGGTGCATCAGGGTGAAAGAAACATTTTTGCCCATTTGTCTCCTCCAGCAGGGATCAAACCCGGAACCTCAGGACTACGATGTCCCCTCAGCTGTCAGGCGCCCCCTTCACCTGACACACTGTAGCAGTAGGAGAATATGGGGATCCATAAGGAAATCAGAGCAGGAGTTACCACTTAATTGGCACTAGGGAAACACCCTAATTAAAAGAAAAAAGTAAGACACACACACCATGCGCAAAAGCGACCCCCTTCCTCATACTGGCCGGTGGTGAGGAACCTTGTACCTAGTTACCATAGGCAGCAGCGACGCCAGCAGGAACTGCTGGAGCATACCACCAGGCACGAGGCTTATGGCGGTCTCTCTCCCACCTATACTTGCCATATACGGCAACACCACCACTTCACCTGGCGTCGCACTGACCACTCTCCTCCCCCACACTGACCATAACCTCACAGGGTCAACCACCTACAAATCTTCTTTAAGCTATAATGCATGTTCATTCTAGGTGGATATTCCACTTATTACATTGGCAGGACAGTGTCTACCAGATCAAATGTTCCCAGGAGGCGACGAATGTGGGAGTGTCCCGGATCTTCCCGGGGCATGATCACACACATCAACATCTGTAACTTCATTGTGACTCCACTGCCAGGATGTTAGGAGGCCGACCCGAGAGTAGGAGGGATGGTGGTGTTAGTTGTCGTAGTTGTCATAGTGGTGGTAGTTGTCACAGTGGTGGTAGTTGTCATAATGGTGGTGAATGTATGGGGGCGGCGGCAACATAAGAGAACAAACCCTGCGGTAACTCCAGGCTAGCAGCCAGGGCATCTCTGTCACTCACTAATGCATGACAAAGCCTCTCAGATAGTCAAACACATGACGTAACGACCCATGAGCCAGCCAGCCGCCGCCATCCGGTGGTGCAGGCCAAGGACTCGCCCCTCACCTTACACACCTCAACATTAGTCACACACACATATGCACTGTACACACACAGATACAGTGTGCAAGTATGCGCATGGATAACAATTTCCGATCAGTTTATTGTATTGGTATAATAAGGTTGGGTAATCAGTAAGGTTGGGTATCACATTTGGAGCAGCCTCGTTCGAGACGATAGGCATTCTGCAGTTTCCGCAATTGTTGTGTTCTATCGAGGCATTATAAGAAACACAGTAGCTCATTGACGTTAAACATAATTTATCTAACTCTTGGATCAAGTTCACAATCTTCACTCGACTCTAAGAAGTGTCAAACTAAGATAGGATAGAACTCTGTAGCCTGATAGGACCATAATACTAATCGTTACAAAATAAAATTATCTTTATGTATCTCCTTTCCTTTGAGTGTAATAGGGACCTCAGTGTCGTGTGTCAGAAGACCTAATGAAAATCTTCCAAGAAAATGTAAGGACAACAAAAATAAATAAGTGCAAATGAGGAGGAAGACAAATCTGAAAAGAGTTCTTCCAGATGTATCACATCAAGGTTAGAGAAAGGTCTGAAAACAGTCATGTCATCTGGAAGATAATGACAAACAATTGTGTGGTATTTTATCTCGGTCTTTACTAGAGAAGAATGTCAATTTTCCCCAAGCTAAACCAATGAGTTAAACAGCGGGAGTGAAGACAACACCTAATAATTCCCAAGGATAAAAGTCTCTAAGCAAATAGAGAAAAAACAAAGGCCCAGACAATGTTCCTCCAAGGTCTTTAAATAATTAACGAAGAGTTTAGTCAACCTTTATTAAGCATATTCTCTAAATCACTGGTGTTGGACACTGCCAGAATTGTTAAGGATTCGCAATAGATTTTCAATTCTCAAAATAAAGATAGACCACTCTCATCTACCGTCCCATAAGTTTAATGCCAATTGTTCCAAATTTACCAGAGAAGCTTAATTACAAATATCATTTATACTAATCTTGAAAAATACTTATTAAGCTTAATGCCCCCCTCCCCCCCCCCCCCAAGATTATTTTACAAATCCTGTCGTCCCCCCTCCGCTCCTGTGCCAGGTAAGTCCACTACGGGCTCACCATAGCCCGTGCTACTTGGAACTTGTTCCCAGTAGCTGAATCTAAAATAACATCAGATACACGTCACGGTGTTTAAAGATCAGTCATATTTACGCGAGATTCAAATGGGAAAATACTCAGACTGCCACAGCTGACAGCGTTTCAAGGACAGTGTAGTCAAGTGGAAGACAGCGGGCCTGTGGAAGGACAGTTACGTCCTTCCACCTTAGGAAGTTACGTCCTTAGATGGGCAAGGGGGATGGGGGTAAGATACAGATGAGGCGGGGTCGGTCGTATCGGTTTGGATCGGGTCGAGGCGCGTCGGACAGGGTTGAGCTGCCTGCCATCATTAACTAAGACCAAATGTTCATTTCATGCAGCCGTCAAACCTCCTATTTGTTAATGAAAAACTCTTACACGCGACTCAACTGATGTTCAAATATTTCTTGAACAGTACGTCGCTAACTTTTTCTATTGCAACCGCAACTCTCTAAATGCTTCACTCACGACCTACAAGTACAAATAATTACCAACAGAATCTAAGCACCCAACCCACGCTTAAATATGTATAAATGCTTATACAACAATATAAATTATTTGAGTAAATTCCAACTTTGAATGAACATTTTAAAATTGATGAATGCGTCCTTCGGGTCGGTCGCTGCATGGAATGAACACAGCCCGAGGGCAGGTTGGGTTGAGACGATGCGGGTCGGGTCAGAACGAATGAGGATGGTTCGGAGACACATGGCTCTCGTTGGGTCACTGGGTGGAGATGGAACGAGAGAGGGAAAGGGCAGAGCGAGATGAGCTAGGTTGGGATGAAGAGGGACGGGGCCAGACCGGTTGGGACGGGGCCAGACCGGTCGGGACGGGGCGAGACCGGTCGGGACGGGGCGCATGCAAGCGAGGGTGAGGAGGCGTGGCTCACTCCCTGGGCGGCGTTGAGGTCACCTTCACCCACACTCACCAGGGTTTCCCCCTGGCTCACCTGCCCCATGCTTCCAAGTGTAGACAACACCACCCATTCTAACGCTAAACAACCCGTCCTCTTAAAAAGAACGTCACTTTTCGCTCGTATGCTCACTATGGCCAAATTTGGACGTAATTTGAAATGAAATCGACTCACAAAAGTGACTCCGTTTCTGTTTGAGTCGTCCGGCTTACTCGGCAAGCTTAGAAAAGGATTCTTTCCATTAACGTTTTTCATACCGTTTTGAAACTTCATGAGAATTTCCTGCCCACCTAACCCATCAGTGGACCCTTAACTTACTGTTGTTGAAAAAAAAATCCCAAATTTATATTATTTTTTTTTCATTTTCAAATTACGTCCATATTCGGCCATACAGGCAAACGGCCAAACGCGACGTTCTCTTTAAGAGGACAGGTTGCGCTAAAACAGGAGAATTAACTATTGGAGCATCACCACCGAAGCACGCTGCTCTTGTGCCAGGGAACACGACACTTGTTGACGCTGGCTGCTTTGGTTTTGGCTTAAGCCAGCGTCACTGCAACTGACTGATTATTACACAATAAATTGGGCTTCCCGTGTCGGGGACAGGAAGATACACTCACCTGGATGTCATTATACAGGTCTTATCCTCATATTATAAGTAATATGTTCAGACTGAAATATAAAAAGATAATGCCATCATTACGTTCAAAGTAATCTCGTGCGCATCACCGCTAAGGCAGGCCAGTACTATAGTCGGATTGCCAGTCTTTTTTTTTTATTAAATCTGGACGCATTAAGAGCGCTTGCCAGGATGCCTGGAGAAGAATACCAATTTTGTATCCGCCAAGACACTAGTCGAGAAATACCCGCTTTATAAAATATTGCAACAATAATGACCAAGTATATTATCATGCTTGAGATACAGCCTTTCAAGTAAGGTGAAGCAAACACAACCACAAATCAAGGAATACTCCGCCTGATTATTAGAGAGAAGTTATGCCTAGCATTTCCTACAGCAGCCGTAGCGGCACCCACGCCGACCTTCCTCGCTCCTTCAAGGTCACCCGTGGCCCAGGGTTAACTAATTCTCCACGCAATATTATCTTTTAAAGAATAACTATATTCAGAGTTCATTCTCCAGTGGAAGGAAGACGAGGGTTAGGTGTCGCTGATCTATGCCCGACCACATTACAAATTATTTCCATTTCTTCACGATGCAAGGAAAACGAAGCTATTGTGACATAATGACTAATAAAAGCTGACTTCTGCTACACTTGTGAAGTACAGGATTAACAGAAGTGATGGTTCCACAAACTTGGACTGGACGGTAGAGCGACGGTCTTGCTTCATACAGGTCAGCGTTCAATCCCCGACAGTCCAAGTGGTTGGGCACCATTCCTTCTCCCCGTCCCATCCCAAACCCTTTTCCTGATCCCCCCCCCCCCCCATCCCATTCAGTGCTATATAGTCATAATGGCTTGGCGCTCTCTCTTGATAATTCCATTCCATTCCACAAGCAAGAGGCTGGAGCGGTCACGTGAAGTAACTGTACCATTGTGACCTTTCTCTGACGCCATCACCACTTAGGATTCCAAATTTAAGAATAAACTCAAAAGGAAACAATGACAGTTGTTATCGAGAAATAAAGCGTCTGCACTTAGGAGTCCGCAAAACTTATAAGTTTACCTCCAGCCACAATAATAGTAATAATTATTACACAATTTATCTCATATGCAGCAAATGAGGAATTATATAAAACAAAATGCTTGATCCCTCAGGATACAACTGTGTTTTTATTTACGTTCGGCAACTGTAGCTCAATGGTCTAACTTTTTTACTCGTATCCGAAGATCCTAGGGGGAGAAATGGTTGGATAGGGATCCTTCCTTCCTGATGCCCCTATTCACCTTGCAGTAAATATGTACTTAAAGAGTTAGGCAGCTGTTGTGGGGTTGCATTTTGGGAGGTTATCAGTAGATGACCATGAAGGGGGGGGGGGGAGGGGGAGCGGGAGGATCTGAATAAGCCTAACAGACTTCCAGTTACCGACTATTTGACATCATATTACACTAACGACTGAGTACGACTAACATTGTAATTTGAACCTTGGCTAAAGGGACCATTCTTAAGTCGATAGAACCATTCTCACAATCGACTTGAGAATGGTCCAGGATGGACCGAAACGTCGTCGTCCCTTCACGTTCCAATGTGTGGTGTGGTCTGGTCATCCTGTTTCGTTATAAGTGAATTGTACCAGATTAACTACCTTCGACCTGGCCTAACTACACGATACTAAATATTATTCCCATCCTAACCTCACTTTAAACCAAACTATAATTAACACTTGCTGTGCCGTCATCAAGAAAAGTACCTCCTAGGTTATAGGACTTCTATTTTCCCCTACGGCACTAGACACAAGTGTCATCGCTGTGTGTTGCTATTTCTTACAAGTTATAGTCACGTCCAGTGATCAGGCTATGCCAATGACACAATCAATAGCCTATCTGTTATTGATCAATGACACAATCAATAGCCTATCTGTTATTGATCAATGACACAATCAATAGCCTATTTGTTATTGATCAATGACACAATCAATAGCCTATCTGTTATTGATCAATGACACAATCAATAGCCTATCTGTTATTGATCAATGACACAATCAATAGCCTATCTGTTATTGATCAATGACACAATCAATAGCCTATCTGTTATTGATCAATGACACAATCAATAGCCTATCTGTTATTGATCAATGACAATCAATAGCCTATCTGTTATTGATCAATGACACAATAGCCTATCTGTTATTGATCAATGACACAATCAATAGCCTATCTGTTATTGATCAATGACACAATCAATAGCCTATCTGTTATTGATCAATGACACAATCAATAGCCTATCTGTTATTGATCAATGACACAATCAATAGCCTATCTGTTATTGATCAATGACACAATCAATAGCCTATCTGTTATTGATCAATGACACAATCAATAGCCTATCTGTTTTTGATCAATGACATAATAGCCTATCTACGAGCACCCGCTTGTATTAAGATGGTGGTGTTCGGCCTGCTTGACCTGCTTACTAAGATGACTAGTAAGCAGGGCATATTATAAAGCAATGTGACCGACTATTCATCGATACTCGCTGAAACAAAAAGAAAAAAAGAAATCGAGGGAAGGCGAAAGCTCATTCAGGTTAGAGATCAGGGAGCTTGGGAAAGGATCTGAGAGAAGGTTGGGAGGTCGAGAGGTTGGCAGTGAGTCATATGGTGGCCTCCAGCTCCTTAACCCGACCCGGACCATCCGAAACTGACTGGCCACTCGATCCCGACCAAAAACCAGGCCCACACGACCGGTTCCACCCGACCCTGGCCGACCAACCAGGAACACCCGACCCCGGCAAGCTTGCTCAACTTCCGTCATATTCAACACTTTCTTCGGAATTTCCACTTCCTGTTAGTTGTAAAGAATATACACTTTTTCACGGATCGTAGTTTAAAGAAAACATGAAAACCGACACACACCTTAAAAAAAATATCGATCTATCCAAACGTTTGGGGCTAGTCTCAACCAACTTTCAAGAGGGCACATTTGAGGTATGGGATTGTTATAGGCTGGTCTGGATCGGTCCTAGTGTCTTCTTAAAGAAATATAAGCTCCTATAGTGACCCCCATGTGATTTTCACGATCTGAAATTGGGGATTTGTTTTCCGGAGGATTTTAGAAGTTTTCAGCTGCGTGTAATACAAACGTGCGTGCGTGTGTGTCTTTTCTTGTCTCAATAAACGTACTTGAAGTGACCTGTACTTCATTAAATCTAAGCTATTAAACTCATCCTACCCTCACCTGAGTGAGTTGATGAGCCGTGAGAATAAACAGTTAGTTATGTTGTATACGCGCGGTATCACTATCCCATGCCTCGTGTACTTTTTTCTCCATACCTGTATGTTATACACTCCAATCAAGTTCAAGTATGTTTATTGAGATAAGAAAGAAATACATCTCAAAGGGATAGAGTAGCTTAGGCTATTTCTACTCCCCTTGCAAATCCAATACTCCAATATTGGCTCTTTACCCAGAGTTGCTTAACAAGTCAAACTTCCTTACAGATTTAGTTTTCAGAATATATTTACCTGTGTGTAGTTGATAATGTTCAATAAACAAGATATGTAAATGCCATATATAAGATTTCAGACGAAAAGAAAATGAAAAAAAGCAGTTATTATTTGATAATAACGGTGTCTAACAGTTCATAACTAGCAATAAACAAAACGGGAATTTGACCGACCATGTCGCTGAGCCCGACTCGGATCAACTTACCGACCGAGATAATGGGTAAGTTTTAAGTACATTAAACCGGAGAAGATAATGAAGAGAGAGGAGTGAGAGAGGGCGGGGGAGAGGCAAGGCGAGGCCCGGCGTGATCCCGTGGAGCCACATTACAGTGTGGCTGCAGACGCCCGCCGCCACGGACGCGACACTACCCGCGCCCAAATCCTCAGGATTTATACTTGCACTGTAGGATCCCTTCAATATACTTAAGACACATCAACAACAGCGGGAGGAAAGTTTCCGGGAAAGACAGCTAGTGTTATAACGGTGCAGGGAAGTGTGGAGGATGTGTTCAGCCGTGGTGCAAGGGGTGATGGCGGCGACACTGCTGGCCTCCCTAGCGGCAGGTAAGCTCATCAGGGCCAAGTATAGAGTCAAGACTCACGCAGGATTACTACCTAAGCTGTTTATCAGACCCCAGTGAGCACAATACCCAAGAGCTACCCCAAAACCAACATCAACGATGATTCGACGTCTAACCAACGCCACTCTTGGACTCTGGCCATTAGGCCTCCCATCAATTGTTTCAATGTTCCTGAATTTGAAGTTATTTCTTATCAAGTTGAAAGTAATTAGATTTTTTGTACATAAGCAGATTCTAACACGAAAATTGCTTTTCAGTGTGCACTGTGTTCTTGTTTATACGAATGTTATGTGCTCACGGCGTCTGTGTATGCCTAGTTGGCTTCTGGCGGACGTGGTTGTTGTATTAGTGCAGGAATACATTTGCCTATCAGTTTATGTGTATACATATATACATACATACACACACACACACATACGAGAGACAGACTGCATTAGTACATGTATGTGTGGGTGTATTAGTGCATGTGCGGGAGGGGGGGGGGTGTATGTGTGTGGGTGTATGCATGCGTGTGGGTCTATGTATACATTTGTTTGTGATAATGCCAGTATGGTATGCTCTTTTGGACTGTATTAACGCAGTTATAAGTTTCGAAATGAGTGTATATTTGAAAAACACTAGTGCATGGCTACCTTAAGTGTATAATATACATCAGGCAATGTAGACATGTGAAGTTGATTGACAATGTAGACATGTGAAGGTCTGGAATCTGAGGTTGAAAAATAATTGTCGACAAAAGGCATGACCTTGAACACTGCCACGTGGTCTTGTATATTGTTTTTATCTGTAAACCTTTATTTTTCCTTTCTGATTTTCTGTCCCATCCCACCTGCACACGCCTGCCCTCTCCCTCATCCCGCCTATACACATCTAACCTCTCTCCCATCCCGCCTCACACGGGAGACATCTGTCACGCAGGGTGCAGTCGCACCTCCACAGATCTACAGTATCATATACTGGTTATGGCTCAAAAGGGCCACCACTTACGGGCTATCCATGCCCGTGCCACCTTTTGGGTGGCTTAATCTTTATCAATCATCCCGCCTACACACGCCTAACCTCTCCCTCATCCCACAGGTCAGCGGATACAAACGGTGGAGTTGGCAGACTCGCGGTACTTCATCTCCAACGCGTCGCCATACTCGCCGAAGTTCAACTGGTTCTTGGCCTACGAGTATTGCCGCACCATCGGCATGGAGCTCCTCAGCTTCGAGAGACTCGAAGAAACGCAAGAACTCAACGAGTTCCTCACCACTAATGGCAAGTTTTACCTTTTCGCAAGCTTTGGAAATTCTCGTAATAGGCCACCTTGTAACATACACACACTAGAGAGCGAACCAGGAGTTCATCAGGTTGATAACTACTATTGTGAGGCCTACCTTGAGGTGCTTCCGAGGCTTAGCGTCCCCGCGGCCCGGTCGTCGACCAGGCCTCCTGGTTGCTGGACTGATCAACCAGGCTGTTGGACGCGGCTGTTCGCAGCCTGACGTATGAGTCACAGCCTGGTTGATCAGGTATCAGATGACTGATCTTTCCTAGAATGCAACCCACAACGGTTAATCAACTTCTTGGTACCAATTTATTGCTAGGGTGAACAGGTGGTAAGGAAATGTGCCCAAACGTTTCTGTCATACACGGGAATCGGACCCGGAACTTTTCAGTTGTGACCCTGCTGTGTTTGACTTCGGGCCGAAATGTACCACCAATTAACTAGCCATACACAAGGCTGCATGTAAAGTTCAGATTTTTGTAAGTTGTAGTTATCAATACAACTGTTTGGCTCATAACTTCATGAGGGGTCCAGAGGGGTCCAAGAGGGTCCATGGGGGTTCAGGAGGGGTCCATGGGGTTCATAGGAATCCACAAGGGACTGAGAAGTTGTCGCGTTCATTTCATGTGTGGGACGGGTAATTAGTTTCGGCCACGTTATTGTGGCTTATTCTCTGCTTTTGGGTATACATTTTCTGTCTCATAATGGTCATTGTTACCTAACTCACATTCTCTTTAAGGCCGCAGACCGTAGTGGATTTAGGGGGGGGTCCGGGGTACTTCAAATTCGGGGGTCCTCAACATAGAAAGAAATTAAATTTCATGAAAAAATAACTACAGTACAATGGTGATAAACCGCACGTTCGAAAAAATATGTTCGGTTCCGAAGAGCACACTTGTCTGATTGTATTTTTCTCGATTATATTGACTAAGAATAATTCGTGATTACATGCAGGCATACAACACTACAATATCTACAAAAAATCTTTCTTTCTACATTTAGCACCGGCAAAATCTTTTAACAAACTCATCAAATTGTATAATCTTTGTAATAAAACTAGTTTTATATTTTTTTATATATAGGAAGTCTGGGGGGACCCTTTTTGCAGGGGGGGGGGGGAGGGGGGTTGGGGCAATTGCCCCCTTATAAATCCGGCCCTGGCAGCAGGTATTGGACTGCATTCAAATTAATGTTTAAAATCATTTAGGTTAACAATATATTACCACTGTGGCCAGTGAGGATAATGAGGTACTGTACAATCCGTTGGGCAGATCACATCACAAGTGCCTACTGGACAAGCGGTAACCAGCTGGGGTCAGCCATGTGGATATGGATGAGCACTGGCCAACTCTTCAACACCACCTTCAACTTCTGGGCAGAAGGCGGCGTGGCGCCCAAGTAAGGCTCATACTGACAGTCTTGTAACAACGCACCAAAACACAACTTTGAGTAAACAAATATCGTAGTTTGAAAATTAAAAATAAAATAGAAACATTTGTGCACTTTAATCACAGGATAAGTTAACTTGTAATTCTAGTAGTTGTCAGAAGAGCTAAACCAGTATGGTTATATAGCACTAGTCCAAGACCACAAACTTGTTTAGTCTAAATTTCAAGTTCAAGTATGTTTATTGAGACAATAAAAATATACATCTCAAAGGGATAGAGTAGCTTAGGCTATTTCTACCCCTCCTAGTCTAAATAAGGTAGGAAGAACTGCTAATAGTTTTTCCGTTTGCCTTATTTCCGTTCACTCCTACAGGAAGTCTGAACGGTCGTGCATGAGCTCCACGGGAGGTAATTGGTCAGCAGAGAACTGCATGGATGCGAAGCACTTCATCTGTGAGCAGACTCGCTGCTTCTACTATAACTACGTCACTACCAACCGCGGCACAACTCAGGGGTAAGAACAGGTAATGTTTATATCAGCTTTTGTAGAGTAAACAAACTTTGCTCATCTACTTCTTATGCATTTTGGGGTTGCAGTGCGTTTAAATATGCTTTACTCTACATGGTCATAGGACATGATACTTTTAAGTACAGACTTACTATAGTAGTGGGATTTAAAACATGATAAAGCAGCATCTGGCTGACCACCTTGTGGACTTAGACTATTTACTTTAGATCTTGGAATAAATAGTCTTATTGAAAAGTAATTTACTCTCAGATGCAAAAATGTCCCATAATTTGCGTTCTGATAAATAGTTACCATCTCTAGTATTTTGATTACTGATAAATTCGTTCAAATGTCATAAATACGCTTAATGAAGCTTCGTCTCTTTCTCATTCCCATTTTAATTAACTCTGACGGATAAAATAATCTTGAAGCTTTTCCTAAAGGGCCTTAAACTAACAAATTAAAATGAGGGTAAAAAGTTGACCGGAAGAAAAGTACAAGAGATGGGCGTGTAAGTTTAAGCTTCGGAGACGGAAAAAACCCTGTAGGTTTTTTTTTTTTTGAGATATATACAAGAGTTGTTACATTCTTGTACAGTCACTAGTACGCGTAGCGTTTCGGGCAAGTCCTTAATCCTATGGTCCCTGGAATTCGATCCCCTGCCGCGAAGAATCGTTTTTTCATCCAAGTACACATTTTACTGTTGCGTTAAACAGAGGCTACAGTTAAGGAATTGCGCCCAGTAAATCCTCCCCGGCCAGGATACGAACCCATGACATAGCGCTCGCGGAACGCCAGGCGAGTGTCTTACCACTACACCACGGAGACTGCTTAGGTTCTTTCCCTTCTTGTAAAATTTACCATCCAGGGGCTCTCGTATACTGGACAACATGGCGATATACATAAGAAAATCATTCAGTAATCTGAACAAAGTGACATTTAGAATACTGTATGCTAACTGTAAGTGCAAGACTGTAGCACCAGAACGGTGCGCACATTTTCTACAGAACATATGAAAAAAAAGCCCCAAAGATCGCAAAAATATTCGTCCGAGAGGAGGGACGGAAAATGAAGGCTAAAATAACTAAAATTGTCACCGGTCAAATACAAGTGAACCAGAAGAGACTGTAACATTCCAGTGGACGCAGACGGACGTTACTTAAGAAAGAATAGTGATGTTCAGAAATATTTAAACATGCATGTTGTGGACAGGTGGAATAAACACGATGGGAAGGTAGCTAAGGTAAACTGTTCAGCTTCAAAAACTAGTCAAATAAAGCTGGCGGTTACTTGGGTAACCGGCAGGCAGGCTTTCATGTTGGCTGCAATGTGAAGGTCACCGAGCACCATCCCGAGGTTAGCACTATAGCGAGGGTTAACATGATCTTGTTATAAAGTGATCTTGTTATAATCCTGTGACTGTGCGACACCAAGACATACAAGTGTCGCTCCCAATAAACACTGCCATTCCCATATCAGTACCTCCACTCTCCAGACAACTACACCTGTTCCAGTAACCTGTCCTCGGGGAGATCCGCTCAAGGGAATGAATTGGGAATTACCACATAATTGTGCTATTATCTACTAGTATGCCTGAGTGTGCTATTATTATCTATGGTTAGGTTACGATTTGGTTTGGTTACATTAGGTTTCATTATGTTTGGTTATGTTAATACGGTGTATTATTGATGATAGTGTTAAATATTGGAATTCGAAAACAATTTCAGTGTGCCCAAGAATTCCACTTACATAAAACCAAATTCTTCAAAGAAAATATTTTCAGCATACATTTTCTATATTTAAACCAACGGTTTATAATACTATAAAGTTATAATTTGAGAAGATTCTCTGTTTACAACAAAGGTTCATTTACCAGTTTATATGTAGACTATTATTGGAACTGTAATATGTTTTCAGGACCTCACAAATATCTAGATAACTATCAAGGTGGCTTGAAGAGGGGGGAGGGGGGGTGTTTCTTAGGGTAATGGAGCTGGTCTGAGGACGGGCTCGGTCCAGACACCCACACACCTGCTCCAGGCACACCCGCCGAGTAAGCCCTCCACCTAACCATTCCAAGATAGCCAGCCAAGCATGACTGGCTATTTCGATACTTGCCACCACTCCACTCAGACCAAACTAGTGAAATTGTGAGTGAATGTAGGGAGGGAGGGAGAGAGGGGGGGGGGTAGAGGGGGTCAGCGTGGGGAGGAGATGTGAGAAGGGGGAGGGGGGCAGAGTGGGGAGGCGGTGGGAGAGAGGGAGGAAGTAGGAGAGAGGGAGGAAGTAGGAGAGAGGGAGGAAGTAGGAGAGAGGGAGTGAGAGAGAGAAATAGAAGGGAAGAGATGCGGGGAAAAGAGTGGGGAGGGGGGGGGGGGGGGGTTGCAGTTCGAGGCTGCAGTGGCTTTGGCCTAATTGTACCCGTCACCTAGTTGTGTTTGCGGGGATTGAGCTTCAATTCTTTGGTCCCGCCTCTTCATTGTCAATCAACTGGTGAACAGAATCCAACTAGCCTACAAGCTTCTACCATATCTACACTTGTATGAGGACGGGCTCCCCAATTGGTCGACCAGGGGTTTAGGGGGCCTACTCAAGTGCCTGGTCCAGCTGCTGGAGCCTAGTCCCAAACATCACCTGGTCCAGGAGGCCTGGTCGACGACCGGGCCGCGGGGACGCTAAGCCCCGGAAGCACCTCAAGGTAGGGCCAGCGGCTGGAGCCTAGTCCCAAACATCACCTGGTCCAGCGGCTGGAGCCTAGTCCCAAACATCACCTGGTCCAGCGGCTGGAGCCTAGTCCCAAACATCACCTGGTCCAGCGGCTGGAGCCTAGTCCCAAACATCACCTGGTCCAGCGGCTGGAGCCTAGTCCCAAACATCACCTGGTCCAGCGGCTGGAGCCTAGTCCCAAACATCACCTGGTCCAGCGGCTGGAGCCTAGTCCCAAACATCACCTGGCCGCCGGCGATAACCGTCTCTTCCCCCTCTCGATGGGGTGGGTGATTTGACAGTGATGGATGGTGATAGATAACACTACGACACTCTTCACTAACACAGACCAAGCAATTTCTCTATTTACGAAGAAGATGCACTGTGTTTTGTAATATACAGTGAAATACATTTCTATTATTACTGTGCAGTGAATAGCTACAATTTCATTAAAGTTTGAAAAGGCACTGTAAAACTGTATCCTCATACTAAACTTCCTCCCCACCGACACACTCGCCATATTACACACTCCCCACCAATACTACACACACTCTTCTCCACCAACACACTCCCCATCAACACTACACACACTCCTCCCCACCAACACACTACACACACTCCTCCCCACCAACGGGACCAAAGAGCCAAAGTTCAACCCCCGCAAGCACAATTAGGTGAGTACACACTCCTCCCCACCAACACACACTCTTCCTTATCAACTCACTACACATACTCCTCCCCACGAACACACACACTCTTCCCCACGAACACACTACACACACTCCTCCCCACCAACACACACACTCTTCCCCACGAACACACTCCTCCCCACCAACACACTACACACACTCCTCCCCACCAACACACTACACACACTCCTCCCCACCAACACACTGCACACACTCCTCCCCACCAACATACTACACACACACTCCTCCCCACCAACACACTACACACACTCCTCCCCACCAACACACACTCCTCCCCACCAACACACACTCCTCCCCACCAACACACACTCTTCCCCACCAACACACACTCTTCCCCACCAACACACACTCTTCCCCACCAACACACACTCTTCCCCACCAACACACACTCTTCCCCACCCGCACACACTCTTCCCCACCCGCACACACTCTTCCCCACCCGCACACACTCTTCCCCACCCGCACACACTCTTCCCCACCCGCACACACTCTTCCCCACCCGCACACACTCTTCCCCACCCGCACACACTCTTCCCCACCCGCACACACTCTTCCCCACCCGCACACACTCTTCCCCACCCGCACACACTCCTCCCCACCAACACACACTCCTCCCCACCAACACACACTCCTCCCCACCAACACACACTCCTCCCCACCAACACACACTCCTCCCCACCAACACACACTCCTCCCCACCAACACACACTCCTCCCCACCAACACACACTCCTCCCCACCAACACACACTCCTCCCCACTAACACACACTCCTCCCCACCAAGGAGAGGAGTCATCTTTTTAGGGGGTTGGTGGCCGAGTGGACAGCGCTCTAGGCTCGTGGACCTAGGGACCGGAGTTCGATTCCTGGTACCGGCGGAAAACAAACACGCAGAATTTCCTTCATCCTGATGCCCGTTACCTAGCAGTAAATAGGTATCTGGGAGTTAGACAGCTGCTACGGGCTGCTTCCTGGGTGTGTGTGTATTTACCTAATTGTGCTTGCTGGGGCTGAGCTCTGGCTCTTTGGTCCTGCCTCTCAACAGTCAATCAACTGATGTACAGATTCCTGAGCCTACTGGGCTCTATCATATCTACATTTGATACTGTGTATGGAGTCAGCTTCCACCACATCACTGCCTGCTTGTGTGGTGGGGGGGGGGATAGTAATTAGTAACAGTTGATTGACAGTTGAAAGGCATGCCGAAAGAGCAGAGCTCAACTCCCGCAAGCACAACTAGGTGAATACACTCCTCCCCACCAACACACTTAAAACACTACACACATTCCTCATCATCCTGCCACCCATTCATATTTGTATACTGTATTCTGATACATTCAATATTACTGTAAGCATGTCATTATTTTAAATATTTAAGATAAATAGCACTAACAAAATGAGTGCTGTGGGGGTGGTGGGGTATGCATATATGTGTAAAGAAATTGTCTTGTGCTTTTGATCTGGGATTTTCCTTTGTCTAAATGTGATACAAAAGTTAAGCATATTTCCAAGTACAATTCTTGTATTGTCGTACATAAGCTTGTTATGTTTCCTGTTACAAAACTGGGTAAACAAAACTTAGGCATTTCATTACCTTTCCAAATTTTCATTCATTTCACAAATATGGAGAAATACGTTTTTCCTAGCATGGTGTGATGGAAATCCTTTTACAGGAATTTTGTAACCAATCAAAAACTTTTACAAACAAAAAGAAAATATTATGAAGTCAAAACAATGGGTTATATGGAATCTAAACATTAATTTTGATATGCACTTACTGTAATGTGTATGAATAAAACAACCATATAGAACTATTTTGTTTGAATGGAATTATCTTCATATAATGTTTGTAACTATTGCAGAAATAAAACCATCATTCCTGGAGTCACTCAGGTCCAAAATAGGCCACCACCTCACCCTCTTAGACCACTGAGAAGACCACCACCACCACCAGTGGACCCTGAGCAAGAGCAGCAACAGCACCCACAAACACAAGAAAATCAGCCATTATCTAATCCTACTGTAACATCAACATCTGCTTCTAATCAGTCAATCACTAATCTGAGCAGAGTTTCAGCCCCATCGCTCAACAACTCTGCCACCCCACCACCCTTGAAAATAATGTCATTAATACAGGCAGATACCAAAGCGGTGGTAACAACAGCTCCGGAGCAAGTCAAGACTATGCCACCAACACCACAACAAATCAAGTTGATAACACCAACAGAACTGAAAGCAGTGAATCCTGCAAATGCAACCTACACTAATGAGATCTTCCCAAATCCTCTAGTTTCTCATCTGCAGCTGTTACAACCCCCAACACAAGAGTTTATCCCGAGTGAGCCTGAGATTGTAAAACATACAAACAAAACGCTTGCTGCTATCCTCAGTAGGAAGGAAACATTTAGCTGGGCTCTTAAAGATCACAGCGCTTAGTGATTTTATAGTTTATAAAATATAAAGGTCACTAATCATGTATGTATTACAAAGAATTCTGTGCTGATATTGTTTCTTGTAGTTTCATTGTGGCTTATCAGCTGAATTAATAAAATGTACAGTGTTTCCTCCAGGTCTCCTCTCTCTTTTTTCCATTTTTATTACTTTACATTTATTTGGATTGAATTTCAGCAGTTATTTACCTGCCAACTTCTGAAATTTGTCAGGATCTTTCTACAGAACAATATTGGCAGCCATAAATCTTACTCTCCTCATTAACTTTGAGTCTATAAACATTATGTATGAGCTCATTCCTCTAGTAAGTCATTAACAACAATTAGAAGAAGCAACAGTCCTAAGATAGGCCCTGGGGAACAACACTTTATTTACAATCCTCTCCATCTTCACATATCTCTGATAATAACCCTTAGTTCCCTGTCTGTAATGTACTCCCTTACCCAATTCAGTAAACAGACTAGGCCAGAGGATCCAAAACAGAAAACGGTACATCACTTTCCCGAGCCGCTTTCATTTTCTAATATAATATGGCGATTCTTAGCCTTAGTGTGCATACGAACAAAAAGCAACATAATTAGTAAGAGGACAGGTTGAATGGTGGCTGTAGTTGTTGTGGTTTTAGTACTGGTTGTGGTGGCTGCTCAGGGAGTGCAATGTGCACAGGCTTGTGTAAAGAGCTCAGTGTAATGTGTTCAAGATGATCTTATGAGCACAGGCTTGGGTAATTAGCAACATGAATCAAATATAACTGTCCTTTTGTAAAGAGCTATGTTGTGTCATTTATTAATTTGTATTTTTCAAGACGAGTATGAATGACATTTACAGGAATCCCTTCATGTAATTTTGTTCACAAATCACAATGAATGACATGAACTGCCATCTGTTTTTACTACCATCTTCCTTAGTAATTCTAAATTTATTTAATTTGCAATGTTTACTCCATCTATAAGTTACATTTTTAGTAAATTGCAAAGTTCTTCCCTAGTACAGAGGTAAAATATTTATTCCAAATACCAGTACTGCCTATTTCTCCATCAGCATCTATTAGATGACCTGATACTATTTTTAATTGCCTGGTCCACCCTCTAGTGTGTGTTTGATGCATCTGTGAGAATCCTTTATGATTTGACTTAGAACTTTACTTTGTCAAAACGCCATTGCAAATTGAATAGCAACGTAAACCCCTTTCTCTTACCTGTTTTGCCTCTCCTTCCTTACCACCTGATAAATATATGGGACCATACTGATAGAATGCTATCATAAGTACCTTAAATCTAAATATATGCAATCCATCCACCCTTTCCTGCCTTGGATTATATCAGTGACCCCAGTCATAAAATCTTTATTTTCTGCAAATGATCATGCACCTCTGAACCTACACTGGTTGTTTGGAAATATGTCAATTATTTTCTAGATAATCAACCCATTTTAAAATCTCTGCTATTTTCAGAACTTTGACCATGACACGTGTTAAATAAACCACCATGTAGTTCAAAGGGTTCTGCTCTTTTTTCCTCTTTTTACTTTATTGGAACAATGTTTACCTGTCTTCAGTTCTTGATATCTATGCTTCTTGCAGTGATTCCATAAATAAATTTCACAATGGATACTTTACAACTACACACCCAAAGTCCTGTAGAAACCCTTTCATCTCTTGTTAAAACTATTTTGTCTATTTTTTGGCCTAGGAACATCACTTCTCCCTGATGTCTTAACTCACCCACATTTGTGAAGTCACTCCAAAACATCTTATTTAAAACATCAAACAATTTTAGTACCATCTCCACTATTTTAGTTCTTCACTGAGCTTTTTTTTCTATTTTGCTCTACAGTTTGCTCCTTACAAAATTGGATAGATTTTGCTTTTGTTTGCATTCTCCACATCTCTCAAAACAATTCTCTATTTACCTTCTTGTAGAAGTATATTTATATCATTCTCTTATTTATTGTAATTTTGTACAATTTATCTTTTTTTTCTACCCTTTTCATTTCTGGTTCCCAACTGAACCAATCTTTAATGGGGCTTTACTTTTTTTTTAATTACTGTATATATATATATCCCCCTCCCCACCACCTTGTACACAGCACATATAACAGAAGTACTATACTAATACTTTTTTGTTAATAATGTTCCCCTGCAGACCTTCATCCCTTATCTATTCTCCTGAAAATTTTCTTAAAACTCCACATCTTTCACTTTTAAACTCCAGCCTTTGGTTTTTAATACTACTTTGGAGAATTAGGCACTGAACATGTATGTAGATGATTAACTCAAAATGGGATTTTAGTTCTAAGTACATGCAAGAATTGTTTTTATTGTGTGCTGTACTTACTTTCCATGAATGACTCCTTCAGGATTTAACATTGGAATAATCTTGAAGATGAATTTCTCAAGCAACAAATGTGCCTCAGGTGAATTTCCTAAGAGAAAATTTAGCACTCCCTCCATCACCCAGGAGGAGTTACTTTCTCCAGGATGTACTCTGGCTGTAAGGAAGATAATCTCTTTGTCCTGGAAAGAAAAAATATCACTGAATATGTAAACAGGTAATACACATTGGCATATAACCTCATATTTGCAAATGTTTCCAATCCAGTTAATGCCAGAATATATTTCTCACTGTTTCTGTGTATGTATACCTGTATGCTGCACGCAGAGTATGTCAAATTTTAAAGTATAAAATTACAGGAGCTGGTCGGCCGAGCGGACAGCACACTGGACTTGTGATCCTGTGGTCCCGGGTTCGATCCCAGGCGCCGGCGACAAACAATGGGCAGAGTTTCTTTCACCCTATGCCCCTGTTACCTAGCAGTAAAATAGGTACCTGGGTGTTAGTCAGCTGTCACGGGCTGCTTCCTGGGGGTGGAGGCCTGGTCGAGGACCGGGCCGCGGGGACACTAAAGCCCCAAAATCATCTCAAGATAACCAAGATAAGAAACCAGACATACCAATTAAAGTGACTCCATAATAGTCCTACCTTTATAGTATCCTTGGTAGTGATGGTGAGAAGAGGTACTGCATTGCCATTGAGTGTGTAACACAGAACTTGATTACTGTAGAAAACTTTACTTGGGAGCACACATGATTCTTGTCTGCTGAGGTAAGCCTATTGGAAAATTTAAAGTTTCTGATTAATGATAAATGTAGTGACAGTATGCAGAAACAAATTTAAGAAAGTAAATTAACCAATTTGAAAGGCTATTTTATTTGAGCAAAGATACTTTACAATTGTAATCACACAATTATATACATTAACATAATGTGGAATATGAATAAATAATGTCAACTAACCTGTAGACACGTGTAAGTATACGGATAATGGTAAGCTATATAGCATACATCATATGCATGAGGGAATGTTACTGTAAATGTTGCTGTATAATAGCACTTGTTGGCAGACTTCTTAAAGCGGATGTTATCATGGCTCTTTGGTACACGTGAGTAGTGATTCTTATGGTAGCAAATGTCATAACCTGCACGAACCCAGGCAGCTTGTCCCTGCATAGCTTCTTGTACACTAAACATTACTGGCTTCATTCCTGTTAAAAGAAATTATACTTTGACTTTACTGCACAAAATATAAAAACAGTTTTAAAAAACCTAATGGGCTACAGGACTAACAACACTGCAAACCAGACATGACAAGGTTAATCTCTTTGAAATTTTTCAAATACAGAACAATTTGGAGGATACTGATCCAGACCACTTCTTCAAAAGGTCAGATGTGACATGAACAAGGAGCAATGGTTTAAAGTTCAAAAAGCCACAATGCGGGGCAGAAAACAGGAGATGCTTTTCACCCACAGGGTTATAAATACATGGAACCGCCTACCCGTTAATGCCACAAACAATGCTGCAATTTAAGATCCAGCTTGATAAAATCGTCAGGACATATGAGGATCTTTGACAAGCTGTTGACTTCCCATCCTCATCAAGGCCACTAGACAGATGGTGGCCCTCCATCTATAATTCAGGTATATTAGCTGATCATATTTTTTCCCTATCACCCCTAAAATTAAGACATCTAATGGAAGACGTACAGAGGACAACACTCTCTCTCGCAGAGCAGACAATAAATAATGATAACACAGCTGAAAATTAGACACCCAGCTCAAAAACTTGAAAATAAAAAAATTGGTGATGTTTTGGACCACCCAGGATCATTACCAAGTCACATAATACCTCTCTCTCTCACAGACCATGGGAAAAAGTATAGGGGATACCCATCTCTCACAGACCATGGGAAAAAGTATAGGGGATACCCATCTCTTATAGACCATGGGAAAAAGTATAGGGGATACCCATCTCGTACAGACCATGGGAAAAAGTATAGGGGATACCCATCTCTCACAGACCATGGGAAAAAGTATAGGGGATACCCATCTCTCACAGATCATAGGAAAAAGTATAGGGGATACCCATCTCTTACAGACCATGGGAAAAAGTATAGGGGATACCCATCTCTCACAGACCATAGGTATCCCCCATGCATTTTCCCATGGTCTGTGAGAGATGGGTATTCCCTATACATTTTCCCATCTCAGACCATTAGGAAAGGGGAAGGTATAGGAGACAATTGTTTCTCAGTGTGTGCTGTGTGTTGCTACATCCACACTGTCATACCACTTGAAAAAGAGTGCTGCGGTGTCTTATACTTGCACATTCTAGGTTATTTGACAATTGCCGATTTTCTTTTCCACGTTTTCTTACCTACAGTACATCTTTTAGACTTTTCATGCTGATTTTGTTTATTTTCCAACTGTCACACAAAAGTTATGACCAGGTTTTCTATGCAGCTTTATTTCACAGTGTTAACATGTAGCAGCTGCCCTATTCATGTAAGAGCAATGTCAGCATGGGAAATGCTTTTAAAATCTTCAAAAGTTTTTTGAACATAAAGTTGGCTGAAATAACTAAAGAAAGCTTTTATTTGTTACTACGCTATAATGCCAAATTAAATTTTCAGCAGAATCAAAAGTTTCACACAATAGTTGTGATTACAAGGAACAAATGTTTTTCTTAAAAGCAAAGAATATCTGTACAATCTTTGCCTTCCTTTGATGGCAAAAATTACAGTTTGTATCTTGGAGAGTATTTTACTTAGCAAAATATGTTAGTGATGGAAACACCAGATTTTCAAGAGAATGGGTCTCAGACTTTAAGATAACCCATTTTAATCACAATCAAAATAGAAAGTTTCAACTCAGTTTCTCAAGACTTAAATGCAATTACTCACCAAAATTAAATTCACTGTTTGGTTTTTCATTATTAACGATATTGAAGATGTATGGTATATTTTGCTCCATGTTGCTCACTTCAAAATAAAACCACTGATGATGATGAGATGAATTGACATCAGCATTCAGTATCAAGTCATACTCAGAGTTAGAAATCTGGAAATGATCGAAATATCTATTAGTGAACAATTAAAAACAAAATATGCTATAAATAACGTAAGCATATTTTCAGAAGTCCATTTTCATGTAAATTTGTTAGGAGCCAAAAAAGATATATATAGAGAGAACAAGAAACACAAATATTATATACAAATTAATAACTGGCTATCAATCTCAGTGATGAATAATTACGTAAAATTCGTAGAGGAAGACCCAAACCCATCAGTGCAAGTGTCTCTAGTGGGGCAAGGAAAATGCAAGCCACCTACCAAGAAACAGAGTCCAGATCCATGCTTACCTGAATCACCCTTCGCAGATTGCCACTTTCAAATCTAGACTCAAAGTTAAGGTGGCTGACGGCTACATCTTTTTTACCAACACGTTTTTCATCCCAGTTGCTCAAGGGTCTGAAAAAAAAATCCTGTATCTATATTATTTAATAGGGTGTATGATAATAGGCATCTTTTATTAAACAAGCTATCAAATAGGATTCATGATACCATTTTTAATAAAGAGGCATATTCCTTCCTTACTCATCTAATTTTATCTTATTGCTTTTCTTAAAAGCCTTCACACCATTCCACTACTCAGGTGCCTTACCTTTCAGTTTCATTTTACACATTCTCTGAACATTAAATTTCTAAACACCCACATCACCTGTAACTATTGTTGTGAAGAAAATTTGAAAAAATAAAAAATAAAATAAAAAATAAAAAAATAGCAGGATAAGTCTTTATGTAATTGTATGTATGCACCTACACATTCTAGAAGATGAGTAGACTTGGTTACATGCCAAGCTATTGTATCCTTTGTGCAGGGAAAATACAGGAGATGGTAGCCAGCATAATCTCCTTTTTGCTTTGACTCGTCAAATGGTGAGAAATTTGTCAGATTTGCACCCAACACAAATATTCAGTGATAACGTATTTCATTAAATTAAAATAATGGAAAAGGAGATAAGCATTTTGTTTTCTATAAGTCATATATATTTGTAGAAAATGACTCTGGAAATCCTAATCCATGAAATATTAGTGGCCTGTGGCCATTCTAGTTTACAGAGATGGAATGCATATCATCATTTTTAATAATATGTATTATAATTTCAGTGTTTCCTAATAATTTTTCTAATGCTATTATGCACGTACCTGGAATGACTATTGATGGGAGTGATCAGCACTCCCATTTCATACAATCTGGAAATCCTAATCCATGAAATATTAGTAGCCTGTGGCCATTCTAGTTTACAGAGATGGAGTGCATATTATCATTTTTAATATGTATTATAATTTCAGTGTTTCCTAATCATTTTTCTAATGCTATTATGCACGTACCTGGAATGACTATTGATGGGAGTGATCAGCTGTGCTGACTGTTCTGTTTCCAGCAGGTAGTCTAAGTCATAAACAACACGTTCCGTATAGATTTCTGGGTGAAGCACGCGCTCAACAGTTGCGATGGCTTTGCTCCTGCGATGCAATAAACTGTTGTTTTTAATTTGTTCACAAAACTTTCCCATTTGTCTTCACAGTCTACTACTTCAAAAAATATTATATATACTGCACTGTAATTTAAGCAATCTAATAATAATAATAAACTGTCACCTGCAAACTTTACGGTCCTTTTCATACAACTCTTCAAGATAAACAGGGCCAAGGGCACCCACCATGTCTGGATAAGTAACTTTAACAAAGTTTATGAGACTCTTGGTGGAGTCAGACGCTCGAAGATAATGTTCAGCATTTGCTTCACAGGCTGGTTCTCCAACACTTTCTGAAAATTACAAAATATAGTTATGGGGGTAATACAGATAAAGTGTTGGCTATCACAGGATGTTCATATTATTGTGTCATTGAACATTTTAATGTTTCTGAAAGCTAGAACATACCTCTTCTATCCATTACCACATCTGTAAGTCTTGTTACACCAGGAACACGAAAATTATTTAGCTCAGGAAAAAGAGGTGCTAATTTCACCAATTCTTCCATTCTAGTTCTTTGAGGAAAATACTCTGAGATTAAGTCAATTGCTTTAAAATCTTTGGACAGCTCAAAATCTTCTTCATCTTCCTCCACCTCATCATCTGCTTCATCATCTGATGAATCACCATCCAATCCTGAGGTTCCTCCATGAGATACATCTGCAATTCATCCACATAATTATTCACTAATCTAAGCAATGTCGAGATATGGACAAATATAACTACACAGTAATTAGCAAAAATTATACAGTCAGCCCTCAATCTGTGCAAGTATGCATTCCAGACACCTCCAAAGGTCTCCATTATTCTACTCTCAATAGAACACCTCACTGAACTTAACACTTAATACTCCCACACTTCCTGGCCTCAAAAGCAGTATACTGTACAGCCAACCTCAAACTTTCCAGACACGTGTTACTCAAATAAGTTTCTTGTTTTTGGTTAGCTCGAATAAATTTGCCCAGTAAAGTTCCGAAAGTTGCATAATGGCAAAAGAGAGGGGTTGAGTTTATCAGCCTTAGACACATGGAATCATCTAAGTGTTTTGCACAAACCCAATTATCAAATCTCTACCAAGCCATCTTTGTTTTGGCTTGTGGTGTGGTACTCCAATACACTTTCTTGTGGTATCTATGGATTTATTTGAAAAATTCTGAAACCTGCACATTGCTGGCTCCAAATGCAGGTAATGTCTCTATTAAGGCTGCAATAAGCAGCAAACCAAGGAGAAAGTGTTCTACATTAACATTTTAAAGAACGTAGAGGTAATAAAAATGGTTGAAAGTGAGAATCAAGAAGACCACTCATATTGATATTATTATGGCTTAATCTATGATCTTTGAATACTATTCTTGAAATGAAATTAATAAATCAATAAGTACAGTACAGTATTAGAAAGGCAATGAGTAAAGCTAATGTCATGAGTGTTGTTGATACAGTGTAGGAATAACTCGGGCAGAATCATGAGGAAACAGCAAAGTCAGTGGCAGGCTGGCTACTCACAGTAAATTCCAGGGAATTATCATGTCAATAAACAGTACTGAGGAGTATTTTTATACTGATGATGGACTCAGGAGCTACAAAAGATGCAATTTTATTAAGTATAAGATAATAATCAGGGCTAAGCAGTCAGCTGATATAGCTGTGAGTAATACAAAATTGGCACCACTCCAAAGAAGTCAACTAAATGAACATCCACAATATAAATTACCTAGTAAACTATGCTCAATTAACAATAGTCTCAAGCAAGTAAACAATTACCAAAACAATTTGGCCAAGAAGGGAAGACTATGTAGCAAACAATAGTCTCAAATTTCATAAGAGGTTCACCACTTATGATACTGACGAGTACAATTATAAACAATTGAGATCAGCTTTTGTTTATAATTATAATTACAATCCAGTTTCTAAAATATAATAAGTTTTTCAATTGTTCTTGGTTTGGAAGCATCTGGAAAGCTTGTGGGTAGTTGTATAATGAGTTTTAGAATGCTTGGAAGCTGTTCTGATGCAAGACTATAATCCAGTAAAATACAAGATAACTGGGAGGAATCATGAGGTCAGGGGATGCCTTAATGAGACAAGCACAGTAAATCTTGTGCCAAATTATGTACAGTACGCACACTCAACCTTTATTCATCCCCAACTGCTTTTAAAATGTTAGTGTTAAAACTAAAATTGTGCAGGTGCAGTCTCTCTTGCAAATTTGTATACTGTGTTTCAATGGCCAACTGTATACAGTTTACAACAAAATTCGAAAACTATAAATAAAAAAATTCCATTATAAAAGCATTCTATAATTATTCAAATGTGTAAACAATTGAAGAGATGTAGAATAATACCTGAGCTTGGTTCTGAATCAGCTTTTTTTGGCACCTGGAAGGTAAATGCTCCACATATGGAAGACACGGGTAACTCTCCCTTACTAACACACTTGAGGAAAACATTTGTGGCACTTGCAAGGTTGTTATCAAATTTCTTGTCAGCAGGACATGTTTGTATAAAGCGCTGTGCAATTTCTACACCATTCAGCGATACTATGGCCTTGCGCCCGTGCTCTGTAAGAAATATTTCAAGACTAAGCAAAACATATATTGAGGGGACAGACATTACTCAGATATATTGCTAATAAAAAAAAAATTATGGAGATTAAGAAATGGTATCAATATCAACTTGTCCTCAAGATATTTAAAACAATATGTTATACAGAAACATAGTATCATACTACCCTAAAACTTTATAGTATGTAGTATTTATAAAACTGATTTTGTTTTGTTACTGGAATACTTTTAGTATGTTTTTACACATCTTTAAAAAGGTGCAATATAAATGAATCAAGTACAGTTTTTACACATTAAAATTAAAGGTTGACAAAATCTTAATGCAAGCTGCAATTTTGCTAAAGACTTTTAAGTTGAATTATGTACTAAAATGTTCTGTGTAATTTGATATTAACGTTTTTAATACACATTTCTACTTATGAGAGTAGAGAAAGACTAGGAATAGGATTTCTTGAAAAAGACAAAATTATCAAATACAGATGCAGGAGTACTCTACAGCTGCTCACAATGTAGCTCCATTTTCCCAATCATACACTCAATCCAGATGAAGAGTTATATCCATGCAAATCAAACACTTTAAAAATTGACTGATCCCTGCATGTACAAAGCTCAGTCAATCAGATTTGATTACATCTCCATTTACATTTACACCTTTCCAATGACCCAATTCTAGTGCATGTGATCTACAGTGAATCTTTTAGTAAATCTTCCTTAACAGACTGCTTTCATCTGGTCAGCTGGTGGTATGGTGCTAACCTTTTCTACTAAGCACACATTCCACATTCATTCAACTACTGTCTTCTCTCCTGCCAAATTTATTGCCAGAAACAAAATCTGTTCATAATGCTGTTTTAACAATAAATAAACCCATAAATAGGATAATTGGATTAAAAATTTATCACCTAATAAATGATTTAAAACTCCAGTATGGTGATTCATAGACCAATTTTTTATGCTTATTTTAATGTGAAACTAATTATTAAATTTTTTAACAACAACATGATGACAATGTATCTTGGTACTAACTTGAGTCACACACATGAGACAGCGTTCCTAAGATTGCCTTGATAACCTTCACCTGATGCCGACGTTCTATCTTTTCCCAGGCATCTAGAATAGCTAACACCCGCTGAAGCCCAGACTCTCGAAGGAGGCGGATAACATTGCTTTCTGTAATTTTTTGGTGGAATGAAGTGGAGAGATATTAAATATTAATGTAAATTGCAAAATCGAAACAATAATGACATGTTGAATACACACAAATGATAAATAACTCATCCACCCCAATACTAGTAATTATTGTCCAAAAAAATACCGCACTCCCAATTATCTGTTAATTATATGTATAGTACATTACATGATTAGGAGTGATTGATATCTATAAATTCACTATATATATGAGTGATTAAACAATGTTTATAAACAAGTGTAAGGGAAGAATATTCAATGCACTTTATAAAGTCCTTTCTGATGAAAATAAAACTGTGAATTAAGATGTCTAGCAAAGAAAGAGAGAAGAATTCACAGAATGGATAACAAATGAACTGATGCATAATAATAAGGCTTTTAAACAAATATGAAAAGCATCTTTTCTGAGCAGAATCATTTAGCTCCTTCCTTAAGTAAGACCCTATGAGTTTACTGACCAAAATCACGAAGAGACAGACTGGACAACATTCTGGTGTCACAGAGCTATAATGTAGCACTAAGGAGTCACTGGAGATTGCTAAAGCCAGTCAATAATAATCAACAGAAGTGCACTCATAAAATATCAAAGCCTTGTCAAGGTAGGTCGGTCGGTCGGTCGCTCTCTCGCGCGCTCTCTCTCTCTCTCTCTCTCGCGCTCTCTCTCTCTCTCTCTCTCTCTCGCGCTCTCTCTCTCTCTCTCTCTCTCTCGCGCTCTCTCTCTCTCTCTCTCTCGCGCGCTCTCTCTCTCTCTCTCTCTCTCGCGCTCTCTCTCTCTCTCTCTCTCTCTCGCGCTCTCTCTCTCTCTCTCTCGCGCGCTCTCTCTCGCGCGCGCGCTCTCTCTCTCTCGCGCGCGCTCTCTCTCTCTCGCGCGCTCTCTCTCTCTCGCGCGCTCTCTCTCTCTCGCGCGCGCGCTCTCTCTCTCTCGCGCGCGCTCTCTCTCTCTCTCGCGCGCGCTCTCTCTCTCTCTCGCGCGCGCTCTCTCTCTCTCTCTCGCGCGCGCTCTCTCTCTCTCTCTCTTGCGCGCGCTCTCTCTCTCTCTCTCTCTCGCGCGCTCTCTCTCTCTCTCTCTCTCTCTCTCGCGCGCGCTCGCTCTCTCGCGGTCGGTCGGTCGGTCGGTCGCGCTCTCTCTCTCGCGCTCTCTCTCTCGCGCTCTCTCTCTCTCTCTCTCGGCTTCATAAGTGACCACAAAGTAGGGATCTACACATCCTGGAGCTGAAGTTCTCAAAGCATCACTCTCAGCCTGATATAAATACTGTACACTGAGCCAGGTTCAGCTCTAATGGAAGAGCTCTATAGTGGTGATTTGCATCAACATGAAACCCCAAGAGGTTCCCAAACTCCAGATGAATTTGAAATTTATCAATAAGCATTCTGAAGATCCAGGGACAAGCAGGAAGGTGGAAGGAAGGATCTGGTGTACTAATATGGTGGTCGCACAGTACGATGGACAAGGAAATAGGTGTTGCTTCTTAACAAAGTGAAGATCACTCTTCTTGGTGTTTCTTGTTTGCCATAAGGAGCATACAGGACTGTACCCAAAGAGAAGTCATGTAAACAACTCCCTTATTCATCACCGACTGAATGAAACAAAACTTATTGATACTTATTGAAAAGTATTACTTTATACTTATTGATTCCTTAGCCCAGGCTAAGGAATCCCTGTCGTAAATGTACAACTGTATATTATTATTTGAACACATCTAAACACGTTGAGAAGTACACATGGGAGCCGGTCGGCCGAGCGGACAGCACGCTGGACTTGTGATCCTGAGGTCCTGAGTTCGATCCAAGGCGCCGGCGAGAAACAATGGGCAGAGTTTCTTTCACCCTATGCCCCTGTTACCTAGCAGTAAAATAGATACCTGGGTGTTAGTCAGCTGTCACGGGCTGCTTCCTGGGGGTGGAGGCCTGGTCGAGGACCGGGCCGCGGGGACACTAAAAAGCCCCGAAATCATCTTGAGATAACCCCAACACATCTAGTGTTCTCTTCTTTTAAAGTTTGAATATACAGGCAAGACCTGTTGCAACCAGAGGAACATGACCTTTATAGCTTAGTGTTCCAGACTAGGTCAACATTAAATCTGTACTCATGGTTATAACAGTGTTATGCCCAAGACTGGTTCTGTGCTCGGAAGTGTCAATCGAGGCAGCAGTAGTTTGACCCAGGTACCACCCTACTTTTTGTCATGATACCACCTTACAGTTGTGGCGATTATTATTAATCACAACAAAAAGGTATAACAATAGGGATATTAGTAATTTACTAAATATATCAACATAAATGGAGCCGGTCGGCCGAGCGGACAGCACGCTGGACTTGTGGTCCTGGGTTCGATCCCAGGCGCCGGCGAGAAACAATGGGCAGAGTTTCTTTCACCCTATGCCCCTGTTACCTAGCAGTAAAATAGGTACCTGGGTGTTAGTCAGCTGTCACAGGCTGCTTCCTGGGGGTGGAGACCTGGTCGAGGATCGGGCCGCGGGGACACTAAAAAGCCCCGAAATCATCTCAAGATAACCTCAAGATAAAACATAGGATACAAATGAGTTAAGTTCAGATTTTAAAAAGATCTGACAATGTTCATTTGAAAATCATGGAACTTGTTGCCAAGTAACATTATAGATGTGAGGTCACTGGATTGTTTCATGTGTAACAGACAAATACATGAATGGTTATAGTTCAATATAAATGAGAACTGCCTCACTTGGGGCCAATAAGCCTTGTGCAGGTTATATGTTCTTATGTTCATATAATTCAGCATCAGCTGATAGCCTGGTATTCATTAAATGCTTTCAGGTGTTAACACAATCAAAAAATAGTGTTTCTTTGATAATGTGTTAATACTGAAAGATAAAAACAAGTTCTCACCTGCAAAACTAACCATAGAAACAGTCAGGGAGAATATAAGGGGGTCTGACTCTTGGTACCCTAAGGCAAGGAAAGTACAGGAGCAATTGTGATGACAAGCGACCTTTTCATGGTTGAATGTTTTTAAGAATGCACCTCTGCTGAGTGTTCAGGGGTGGATTGAGCTACCTCAATGACTCCTTAGCACATTATTATAACCATGCATGGATGATTTAAAATTCCATATGGCGCCCAGTGTCACAAGTGTCATTCTGCTTGACTGTTAATGATCCTGGTGAGTGGATGCAGCAGATCTTGCCTTAGGGCAACAAAATCTGAGAGCTGGAAAACTGAACATAAACTTGAGTGTGCCAAACATGTGATAACGCAAGATGAAACATCATAGGAAGGGTGGCTATTGACTACGTCCAGTATTAACTATTATATACTGTAAATATATAGTATTTAATCAATATATTTATGCTCACAGAAAAGCTGGAAAAAGAGGGATTAATTAAATTTTGTTTATTTATATGGTGATAAGGGACAATTTATCTAATATATTTTCTGCAATATCCAGCTCAAACCATATAAAATGTTCACTGGAAACTGTAACTTATGAACGAAGAATGACTGAGTAGTTCTAGTTAATGTTTCTTTACATAAAGACTTTATTACGTACCAGTAACAGGAAAAATCTTACTTAGTCCCAGCACTCTTTGTGAAATTGATTCTTACGAGTTACATGCTAAAGGCAGATTCATGCACTCAATGCACAATACTCTACAATCATCTTTGTTAAATAAAAATAAAAAGTAAGTCATTGAATGTAGAAGAAACACTTTTTTTCCAAGTTGGGTACTCAGTCGCTTCCTTAGGCAGTATCTCACTCACCTAGAACACTACAAACTCCAACACAACTCCAATTATTCAGATCAAAATGTCTTCATTTATGTTCAGTTGTCTGCTAAATTGAAAATCAGGTGAATTGAAGTTGAGGCTTGGTAAAGCTGGCAGTGAAGGAGCTTCAGGCTACTCATGTCAGCTTTAATTATTTGTATTTATTGATTCCATGCTAAACATTCCATTTCTCTCATATTTCATATTACTATACTTATGATGGGAGAGCATAAATATGATTTGATTAAGATAAATTTATGAAAATTATACTGTATGTTTCACTGTTATATTTATCTTTACTTATAATAAAAAAAGTGTGGATGGACTGATAATGTGGAAATAGTCGAAAGACAAAATGTGCTGCTGTGATCAGTTGAGTATCCCATCACTCTCTTCTTGCTTTGAGTACTGTAACATTGTTAAAATTGAAAATTGTAAACAGTATTTATTTCTCCCATCGTTCAAGTTCCTTAGAATGTAGCAGTATTTGGAGGAGATTTTTGTGTGTAGGCATAATGCACCATCAAATGGTCATTCAGGATTTGATTGAGAATACTCCAGTGTCTCCACATTTTTTTTTTATATATACTGTATACAAAAGTTCTTCTTGTAAAGCCACTAGCACTCATAGCGTTTCAGGTAGGTTTTTAATCCTAATTTTCCCTGAACATGACTCACTTGCTGGGCGAGTGCTTGAGCACTGCGCCACTGGGACTGCTGAGACCTTGCTGAGTCAGGAATCAGACATATTTTGAATGTGGGATGCTGTATAAGGGAGTGACTGAGAGGCCTAAACTTGGAAATTAGCTACCCCTTATAAAAAAAAATTATACAATGGATTAAACATAAAATACTTATGTTGCATTAGTCAGTAACATGCTAATTTCTGGTTACATTTTGTTTGGAGACTAGATTGTCCATGAACACTTCTAATGGCAGCCTGAAGTTATTGTTAAACATTTTTGTTGGCTACTAAAATCTGCAGCACTACTACAGTTTAGATAACAAAATGATTATGTAGTTACTTCAAGTGTCAAGTACTAGTAAAAAGAAAAGTACTAGGAGTACTAGATATGATTAGTGGCACTTGACTCTACTGACATACCTCATAGTCATTCCTGAATATTTCCAGCAGGATCAAATCGATATTAACATCTAATTTCTATTTTGGTAGTTTTATCATCAGTTGTACAATGTTATTGAGACAATTCACATACAAAACTTATACACCCCACAACTTTTTGTTCTCTTTAGGTATATTTAGGCAGTGGAAGACATTCACTGGCTAATCTACAACAATAAATGCTTGGCAAGCATTCAAACATGAATGGTTTGACATCACTGCAGCTGCTTTTGTAAGTAGTTAGCAAAGCTGACTGCTAATTGTGTTACACTATATATAGCTTATGTTGATTCCCAAACTTGAGCCCTAAATGAATTCCAGGAAGTGTGTAATGAAAATAAAATACACCATTTGACATTTGGGTAACTAAGTAACTATCAAGATAAGCTGTAGTACATCTACAAACTTGGACCATTTCCTGAATAAATGGCCAAAGTTAAACATGCATCATAACCCACATTGTACATGATCCCTTACCAAAGAAACAGTTAAGAAGGGCTTGGAGCTTTTGGCCGTTAGCCCGTACAATGGCTGCTAGTCGGGGGCTCACATTTGCTACAGAGAAAAGTGCTTGCCAATAACATATAGTTAAGAGATACAAATATTTGTGATTCTACAATTACTGTACACTCATTCGTCAAATCTACACTGCAGTTACAGTGCAAACTTATCCAACTGTAGTAGAACTAGTCGTTATAAAACAAATACAGAATAGCAAATTGAAAAAAAAATAGAAATATGTTACAGAAAAAGTTTTGTATGGCTAAAAGCAATACAAATTCTAACGTGTAGCTTGATAAACAAATTAAAAAGAGTTTCAACAAAACGAGACAAAAGCAAGACAATTCATACATTTTTTAAGCAAAATAAAAAACATAAGGATTTGAATTTAGATATAAAACTCCTTTCTGAGCAAGCCATGCGCTCACTTTCTTGAATGATGTCCAGCTTTCCCAAGGATACAGCCAAAATCCAAGGTGTCCAGTTTGACTTTCATCCCTGCTACAAAAGTTAAGATACAAAAGGCATCTTTTCAAATTGTTCCAGCCTGGTCCCAAGTGGGGGTTATAGAGACATGGGAATTTCTATATTCAGCCCAGAATGACTTACAGAAGGCTCACATTCATCTACTAAAAATAACTCCTCTAAATAATACTTAAATTGTAAGAAACTGCCATGTACTGTTGTTAAAACTGTTAGTTAGCTACAAGGAGCCAGATTCACGAAGAGGTTATGCAAGCACTTAAGAATCTGTACAGCTTTTCTCAATCTTTGGCAACTTTGTTTACAATTATTAAACAGTTAATGAGCTCCGAAGCACCAGGAGGCTGTTTATAATAATAACAACCGTTGATCGGGAAGTTTTCATGCTTTTAACTGTTTAAATAATGTAACCAAAGCCGTCAAAGAATGAGGAAAGATGTACACGTTCGTAAGTACTTGCGTAACTGCTTCACGAATCTGGCCCCTGGTCACTACCTCAACCTGCCACCAGATGTGAAAGGTAAGTAAATGGGCACAAGTAACACACAGGCAAGTGTGCTAAGCATTACCAAAACCTGAACAGGTGTAGGCTCAATCCTGAGATGAGTCACCAAAGTGAACCTCCTATGAAAGCAGATTATAAATAAGAGCACAAGTACAGTAGCATTGAACTGAATACTCTAACCCCCATAATTAAAACCTAAGTAGGTACAGATGCGGGCTAAGTCCCAAATCAAATTACCCCAAGAGAATGGGTTATTGAAATGAGTACAATTATGTACTATATGTGGACGAAACATCATTGTTTCCCCATCTTCGGATGTGTAATTTGGTCATCATATCTTCAGCCACGTTATAGCTCTTTCTCCAAGAAAGGTTTTACAGAACTCTGTGCTATACAGTCTAATTATTCTTATGCAGGTTATGCATAAATGAATTACAGGTTAATATATAACTGAAACAATCACTAGTGGTTTAGTTTAATGCAATACACACTATCTCACTTTATATATGTAACACACTGGGGGGGCATCACAGCAAAAAATTCATGTGGGGATAAAAGCAAAGATTTAAATCAGCAAAATTAAGTGATTTGAATAATTTAAGCTGGCTTCAAAACCATAATTAATCTCAATATTTTATGAATAAACCAAATACTGTACAAGATTTAGGTCATATAGGAGTTTTAGAAATGGTTTAATTTGTTCATATTAAAGTTAAAGAATTTTTTTTTTTAAATTTTAAATAGTAAGATAATTTTAAGTACAATGCTATTTAAGAATATTTAATCAAAATAGGAACATCATTATACAAAGCACAGATGGAGACAGGAAATTACATAGTAATGTTTGCATGATATGAAGAAATACCACACATGATACTTACTGGCTTTTGTGAGAAGAGCTAGGATCTCTATGATGAACTTAATCTTGGCACAGTGGGTCTTGGGGACCGAACAGAGGAGTGATGCCATCGTGGCCACACATCCGTCTTTGCCCAGCATCACCTGGTTAGTGGCTGCAACATATTGCTAACGTTTCAAAACACACAACAACCGAATGAGATAAAGTGAAGAATCTTTGCATTTTCTTACTTTGTAAAAACATTCATATATTCAATAACTCAACATTTGTGTATGGAGTTTATCATGTAATTATCAAGGGTAAAATTAGAATTTATAAATAAGTGAAGGAGTCTGCAATGATGCAGTCAATCATATTAACCAAAAGAGTAACAATCATTACTGATATGGACATTTGTTATCACTGTTAGCTGACTAAAATGAATGAAGAATTCTAATTCGGCGTTATTCTCATCCAAGATAAAGCTAGAACACTCTTTAAAGATTTGAAGGAGAAAATAGGTAATGTATTGTCTGGTTTCCCATGGTCAAGGACAGCAACTTTAGGTCTCCAACCAAACCTAGGTTAGTTTGGGAGACCAAACTCGTTTGGTCTCCCTGGGTTGACCTAGGGAGACCAAAGTCTCCCTAGGTCAACCTTTTCTCACTATACTGCACTGCGCAATATTGTAAGAAGTTCTGAATTTTGTGAAAAAAGTTTTGGATGCAGGATCATCTTTTCCAAAATCAATGTTGAGCCATAATATATCTCACTACAACGTAATATATAGTGGAACCTCGGTCTACGAATGTCCCAGAGTATGATTTTTTTGGTGTATGAAGCCAATTTTTATTGTAAAATTTGACTCGGTGTATGAAGTTTGCCTCGGAGTACGGGTCGTTTGTTGATACTAGTACAGTACTTGTATGGGTCAGGCACGTGGATGAGGCACGCTCAGTTTACCAGTGTATCCCGCCTAGTGACGACCATGCTTGAATGCTTTGTGAAGAACTTCATTGTTTTTTCTGCTATTTTGGTTTATGAACATAAAAGTTCTTATTATATATCACCGAAGAACTCATAGCCCCTCACAAGGAGCAGCAACAAGAGACAGCTGAGAAAATTCCTTCTTCAGAAGAGGAGACAGCAGAACAGGATGTCCTTTCCTCATTAATTAAGAAAATGTGTACAATATGTAAAGAACTGCAAAGTTTTGCTGAAAAGACCCAGATAAAGCTGTAGCATGAACGAATTAAATTTGTAAACTGAGGTTCCACTGTATTATGAAGTTATAATACATATAAGCTGATTTGTATGAGAATACACAACAATAATTTAAGACATGAAAAACAAATGAACAATAAACATACATATATACTGTACTCTCAAAATACAATCAAATTACACAAACATTTCAGAATACAATAAAGGATAGCATAGTTCAGATATACAGATGAGAATGTGGAAAATAATTCAATTATATTATAATATAATAGTAGTAGAGCATTATACAAAGGACTGTGTGTTCTCCTAATCCTATATTTACAGTCATGAGGCCTCCAGCTCCAACAAACATGTTGAAAACATAGCAATTCATGACATCACAGAAGTTGGAACAGGCTCACAATCAATAAGAATATCAGTTATTTTTTGAAAAATGCATAATCATTAGCAAACTAAATAATACAACTCCAAAAAAATTGTTAGTTTAGGTAGAGATATAATGCATTAATATACAGTACTTTAGGAATAGTGAGGGGGAAGACTGTTATCCTCGACGTGAATGGGTAACCATGAGCTACAACCGATCACCTAGGCGAAAGCCAGCCAATGAGCGAGTGTAAAAACTCACTGAGAAACCTGCATTTCTCAACCAGTGTGCTGTGAAGGAAAGAGAATGCTGTGGATTGGATTTTACACAAAAAGCATATTTTAAAATTCTAAATACTTACAATTTTTAGCCAAGTATTTAGTGACCATCAGCAAAGGAAGAAGAGGAACGCTGCTTTTCATGTGGGCCTGAAGGAGCTGGTGTGTCAATTTCACACCTCCAACAAGTCTGGCTCTGACTGCCATCTTGGGGTCTGAGGAGGCAAGAAATGCATTACTTTAGATAAATCAGTCCTAAACATTTTAATCCTTGGAACAAATATGTATATTTCCATGGTAATTTATGATAAACATTATACTACAATACTATATATATTGTAGTATTATTATACTACAATAATACATACTGTACATTTCAAATATAAAGGGGGTGAAGGTAAGCACATTAAACAACTGTTTCATCTCGAGGCGGTCAACCAATGCCGAGTCAGATTCTTCAAAGATCATGTTAAGTAATCAAAACATATTGAAAAGGCTTAACAACTTATTTATTAAAATAATATACTTTATATATGGCTGCCAAGGGCCAAGACAAAAATAAATAAAAGGGTGTCTTCAAGAAATCAAGCACAGAATATATTAAAATGCCATTTTCTGGAAGAGTCTTTAGATGTTTCCCGAGATAAGCGCTGGTCCAGCCAAACCTTACGAAGATGCACCGGGCCACTGAGACTCGCTCGTGCCTAATGGGAGCTGGGTCCAGAAGCTGGCTCTCTTTATGATGCAAGTGCAACTTGGAAATTAGAGATCTACCCAGAACAGGTAAAACTATTAGAATGCATAAGTGTAACAAAACAGGCCACCGCTTAAAAGAAAATTAGATATTCTCAGGTACTGTGATGCAATTGACCTCCACCAAGTGGTAGCCAAAGCCACCCCATGGGTGCCAGTCAGCATGCCCTCTCACTCATTCACATGGTCGCAGCTTTAGCAGATACCCTGAGCAGGTACCCCTGACAGTGTCCAACCTCTGCATGCTTAGGCTAAGTGGTGGTGGCTAACCACCACCACTTAGCCTGACAGCCGAGTCTTGGTGCCTTGGCGCCTGACAGCTGAGTGGACAGTGCTTCGGATTCGTAGTCCTGAGATTCCGGGTTCAATCCCCGGTGGAGACGGAGACAAATGGGCAAAAAGTCTCTTTCACCCTAATGCCCCTGTTACCTAGCAGTAAATAGGTACCTGGGAGTTAGACAGCTGCTACGGGCTGCTTCCTGGGGAATGTTTAACAAAAAAAGAGTCCTGGTCGAGGACCGGGCTGCGGGGACACTAAGCCCCGAAATCATCTCAAGATAACCTCAAGATAACCTTAGCCTTCAAACATTAGTTCTGCAGGGGCTATTGCTTTACTATTGATATTTTCTTCATAATTGTTTCATATCACTGAGTGTGCTCTGGCTTTATATTTCACTCCAACTGTGGGCAAGGGTTTCCTTTCTTGGTAACTGACATGCATTTTTCTTACAACACCAGAGACACGTGCTCTGAGGAGTTCAGGTTCCAACTTTACAAGGCCTGTCAGTTATGAGTATAGTAGCTAGCTGTGTGTTGTTAAACCTACTGGGATTGTACCTGGCTCTGATTCTTGTGTGTGTGTGTGTGTGTGTGTGTGTGTGTGTGTGTGGGCTTTGCACTTTTGCCAAGGGTGTGCTTCGTTCATCTAAGTGATTGATCTTTCTGACTATTGGTGTAGGGCTGCAATCTACTTGGTGGACTACTGCTTGCTCCTGCCTTTGTGGGGGTTTCTGGTGGGCCTGTGCCATATGGTGGTGGCAAAACGTTTGCATTGTTTTTCACCCCACATTCTCTTCATAGCTCCAGTGTTTCTTCATGCACTCTTTACACTGCACCAAGGCCACTCAGGAGGAGTCAACTCATATAGGAGGAACCCAGACCCCCTCAGAAAACGGTAACTCTAGTTGAGCAAGAGAAACTCAAATTGGCATCCAGGGAAGAGAACCCTGAACCTAAGTTGGAGTGAAATAACAGCAAAGTAACATACTTTGTAGGTGGCTTAAATATAATAGTGAAACAAATATGAAACGATATCAAAGCAATGGCCCATCATGGAACAATTGTTTTAGGGACAATGAACATCCTTTATCTTTGAAAAGCAGTGAAGAGTTCACAGGGGTCAGTGAATCAGGGTCAAATGGGTTGCCACCTGTTGACAGCCGGGCAAGTTGTAGTTGGTATACAAGCATTGCTAGCTACCATTTGCATTGTTTTGAACATTCATTTTTTCTTTCAAGCCGTGATTTTTGTTTTGTTTCATCTAGACATTCTCCCCCCTCACCTTCTTAAGTGAACTAGCTGCTGGTCTTGGTTAACAATAGGCCTCCATCAGTCTCAGGGGTCTGGTATGATCTGAAGGTTTAGTTATACCAGCTTAAGCCCCATAACGCTAATGAGGTAGACTACCCAGAATTTACTAATGTAATTCAAAATATTTACAACTGAACACACAAAAATAGTAAAAATTGAAAAAGAACAATCTGATGGAAATTATTGTAGAGTCAATCCAGCTTTCATGACAAATGCTTATGTAAATCCAGATCAAATCTAAATTCTGGCAGAGTAATAAATCAAAAAAATTATTTATTTGAAGGGGGTTCAACATAAAGAAGCTAAAATTTTGGAGGTTACACAAGTCTGTTTTTTTAACAAATACCTTTAGATGCCAGCTTTGCAAGGACCTGATATGCTGAATGGGTGCAAGGTTCAATGGCAGACAATCCCTCAGCAGATAGAGCTTTAAGTGCACGTAGAATTACTTCAGCTGTATTTAGTGACAGACATGTCTGAAGTATATTATGGCGAACATCTCCTGAAATGTTGCAGATTGCAGTCAGCAATTTCATCAAGAATTAAAATGCAGTATTAGTAATTTATTCAGTCTATCAGCATCTTAGATACCAAAAAAAAAATATATTTAAAGACAATACTATACAGTATAACTGAAAACCAAAAATGATAAAAAGACAAATACTGCACAATATTTCTTAAATCTCAGTTAGGCAGCCAAGACGATAACCAATCCTTCAAAATTTACTACAGTACAGTACAGTACAGTGGAACACCGACTTTGAATGCCCCTACTTGCAAATTTTTCGAGTTACAACCCCAATTTCGTCAGAAAATTCGTCTCGTGCTTTTTTGTTTTTTGACCATAAAAGTAATATATATATCATGCCATGGGTCACAAGAAAGTCAGTGGTAAGGTTAAACTTAAGAAAACACATGTGAAGATGACCACAGAAGAAAACAAGAGATTATTCATAGTGAATGAATGTGATGTCTAACTACAGAAATGTGTTAAAACGTAGGGAAAAAACAAGTGTCTTAGTGGCTCACAGAAAAAACAAGTGGTTGTGGCTCACAGGCAAGCAGTGAGCCACAACCAGGTCCTAGTGGTATGCAGGCAAAATGTAGGAGAGAGAGAGTACCCCAGAAAAGTCATCACTGCCTGATGTTATAATGGAAGGGGACTACCCTTCCAAACAGTAACACCTCTCCTCCTCCCCCATTCCTTACCATCTTCCATACCCCAACAAGAGTCATCAATAAAGGTAACCTATAACTTGTACATACTATAGTACAAAATGTGTGTACTATGTATGAAATGTATTTTGAAGTTAATATTTTAGGGAGTGCAGAATGGATTAATTCAATTTACATTATTTCTTACGGGAAAATTCGTTTCAAGTTACGAATTTTCGAGTTACGACCAATCTCTGGGAACAGATTAAATTCGTAAATGAAGGTACCACTGTATATGTATGTGAATGTTACCCTAAAGCTTCTTACATATTAAGTTTATATACTTGTGGTCATCTTGTGTTCAATTTGATAATGACTATGCGACAAAGTTTTTGTAATGATCACAACAAAAGGAAAGTTATTCAATCATTAATTCTGAACCAAGAGAAAATGGAAGAATATTTTATAATTAGTCAAACTACATAGTTACTGATACACATTTTAACACTGATGGCTATCTAATGTCACAAATGTACAACCCCCCTAATATAAAGTGATTAATATACAATATTTTCTGGAAAGAGAAAAGGGCAATTAGATGGGAGGCAACTGTAAAAGTCACTGACCTTTATAACTAGGAGAGAGGACGTCATGTAACAAGGCGCACACCGCTCCCATCAGCGCAGGATCCTCACAGTGCTGGGAACCACAACCAACCTATTATGTTATCTAAACATGCAAGTATTTACCTACTTAAAATTTTCTTAGATTAAGGACCTGCCCAAAACGCTGTGCGTACTAGTGGCTTTCAAGACTGTAATTACTATCCTATGTATCCTCACAATCCCAATGTACCTTCTAGTATATATATAAATAAATAAATAAATAAATAACATGGCATTGTAATTTTACTTGATGTTACTAAGAAATATGTTTATATTCATTAGTAGTAATGAAGGAAATAAAAATGGATTAGGTTAGCTAATGGAGTTAGCAAATATTATCATACCATAATATAAATAGTATGATACAAAAGCATGTAATTATTCTCAACTTTGCAATTTTTCAAATTCTCTTGACTGTGGTCATGTTAAACATTCATCTTGTAACTCTTGTGTTGTACAGGTATTACACATGCCCCTATATTAGAAATTATATAATTTTAAAATGTCCTTTTTTCATAGGAGTTTGTTTCTATTTTGTTATTATTAGAATAAGCTGTACAGAGCCTGTAATATAAGGGTAGTTTTAACAAAAAAATTGTAAAATTCACAAAATTAAAAACAAAAACCATTATTTCATTATTTTTTAATAATGAAAGGCCTAAATACCAATTAAAGACATTGCCTTTCTTCTAATTTAAATAAAAATAACAATAGGGTTATAGTCAATATCAATTAATTTTTAAGTTTACAAAAAAATGTGTATAATTAACAAAAATGATGGATAGCATTAGCTAATAATTAAGAAAAGGTGCATTGTCGACACAAACATTTGAATTCATCCTTCATCTTTGACATGTTTTAACTAGTTTAGAAGACTTACAGCTAAATATCTATATGACAGCAAGATATTATCTAAATATTTTCTCAAGTGTTTCCAAGATTTACTTATTTTAATTTCTGGTCATTTATGGTTAATGCGTGAGTTAAGAGGGACAATGCAGGGGCTAGTTCTAACCTCTATGATGTAGATTAGTTGCTGCAAGATCTGGTGGTCTGGGGCGGCCAGTCTCTCCAGAGTCTCCAGGCGGACATCCACATCTGTCAAAACAAACACAATAATATCTCTTCACTACTCTCAACACAAACAGTAATATCTCTTTACTACTGTCAACACAAACACAGTAATATCTCTTCACTACTCTCAATACTGTCCCTTCAACCATCCCTCAAATATTGTCAGGCTCAAATGCATTTCTTGATATACTTATATTAGTACTTTTTACTTTTTTTTCCCCATTTAAAAGTAATGGGTTATTCTTCTCGCAGTAAAGGTTGAAAAACTCATTCATCACACTTGAATAACACCGAGGTTCAGTTTCTAAAACCATTATGACTGTAATCTTCATGTTAATCAAGCTAAACTTAACAAAAACGGTGGATGAACTCTTGAAATATATCTTAAACTCTAGACAACTCATGAATGTTGTAACTTGGAATAGCTTAACAAATTTTGAGGTTCAGTTCCTCAAACATTTTTCACTACCACTCACAGGATAGGTACAGTATGGGGTGTATAATCAAAACTAAGATATCACAATATCTCATCTTTACACTTTGAATATTTATGTTTAAAACAAAAATAATACAAATTTGTTACATCACAATATATACCGTCTATTTGTCCAGAATCAACATTCCATGAAGTATACTAGTTACAAATACAAATATTTATTCAGGTAAAGTACATAGTTAATACACTCCATGGAGTGTATTAACTTAAGTATTATTAATGGAGTATTATTAATATTGGAATGTATATTATGGAGTTAACACACTCCATAATCATCATCAATGCTCCACTTGGTCACTCAGGCTTACACTAATTGTAAGTTTTATTCCGGTTAACATTAACACTAGAAGTGTGTATTTTATCAGATAAACTGCACCATTGTCAAGTTTACGAGTTACTCAACAGTAGTGGGTATTCAGACGGTATTCAGTAGTTCAGACGGACACACTCAAGAGTAGTGTCCGTCTGATAGTTTTAGGCTACTGCTGAATTAGCGCAAAAATGTCATTAAGATATCACAGAGTAATTCCAACCATTACGTTTCATCACTGGAGTAATGTCAACCACAGTTTCATCACTGGAGTAATGTCAACCACAGTTTCATCACTGGAGTAATGTCAACCACAGTTTCATCACTGGTGTAATGTCAACCACAGTTTCATCACTGGAGTAATGGCAACCACAGTTTCATCACCGGAGTAATGCCAACCACAGTTTCATCACTGTAGTAATGGCAACCACAGTTTCATCACCGGAGTAATGGCAACCACAGTTTCATCACTGGAGTAATGGCAATCAAAGTGTCACCACTGGAGTAATGTCCACCACAAAGTTTCATCACTCAACTAATGTAAATCTACTCAATTACTCCACTGGAGAAATAACACTATTAACAACCTTTTGTTTTCGAGCTCAATCAAAACAAATTACTACACACACAATAGGCTATAATAACTATTTCACAATAAGTGAGCTAACTATTATATCAAGAGTTCAGACCAATCTTGACAATCGTCACATGGGCCATGGCTATCTTTCAGCGGACTACTGCACTAACTTGGCTATCATCTTGCGGGAAATTTAATGAATATAAACATCAGAGGTCCACGGTTGTTCAACGTCAAACCAGCGAGCATCAGAAATATTGCAGGAACAACCGTGGACATCTTCAACAGGAAACTTGATTGTTTCCTTCAAGGAGTGCCGGACCAACCGGGCTGTGGTGGGTATGTGGGCCTGCGGGCCGCTCCAAGCAACAGCCTGGTGGACCAAACTCTCACCAGTCAAGCCTGGCCTCGGGCCGGGCTTGGGGAGTAGAAGAACTCCCAGAACCCCATCAACTAACTCCATCCATCGTGGCCCTCTCCATCTTATTTGTGATGGCAGAATATGACTCCTCGCCGGAAGTTTATTGAACGTTTTCAGGCGAGAATTTTCCTTACAGGAGCGTTGCCAAAGGATTGATCCTAGAGTGGTTGGCAGGCACTGGACTTGTGCCAAGTATAGGCCCCCCCCCCACCCCGTCTCTCATGTTTACAAATGTGTTCATGTCTTACTCCCCATCCTCACTCAAACATCTCGTATTCCATACATTTATCATTCTCTAAAACACACACACACACAATTATATAATATATAATGGACCTTGTATACCACTTATGTCAGACCAATCCTGGAATATGCAGCTCCTGCCTGGAGTCCATATCTAGTTAAATACAAGACACAAAGTTAGGGAAGATTCAGCGGTATGCCACCAGACTTGTCCCAGAACTGGTGACACAGGTGGAAACTTAGTACCTAAATGAGCCACAGAGACATTAGAAAGAATGTTTTCAGTGTCAGAGTAGTTAGTAAATGGAATGCACTAAGCAGTGATGTGGTGGAGGCTGACTCCATACACAGTTTCAAATATAGATATGATAGAGCCCAGTAGGCTAAGAAATCTGTACCCCAGTTGATTGACAGTTGAGAGGCGGGACTAAAGAGACAAAGCTCAACCCACGCAAGCACAAATAGGTGAGTGCACACACACACACACACACACACACACACACACACACACACACACACACACACACACACACACACACACACACACACACACAGGGTTCTTCAGTTCTTGCCCTAGTAATGTTCGCTATCTACATAAACGATCTACCAGAAGGAATACAGAATTATATGAATATGTTTGCTGATGCAAATATACTAGGGTGGTGGTGGTTGTTTTAGATTCAGCTACTGCGAACAAAAAGTTCCAAGTAACACGGGCTATGGCGAGCCCATCGTGGACTTACCTGGCACAGGAGCGGGGCTGTAGCTGAGATACTAGGGAAGATAAGAACCTTTTAAGGCGATTGTCATGCCCTTCAAGAAGACCTGGACAAAATAAGCGCATAGGGGGAAAAACTTTCCAAATATAATTTAATGTGAATAAAAAGCCACGTTATGGAATGTGGAAGAGGATAAAATCGGCCACACAACCTACAAATTTTGTGAAAAAGCTGTATTATTGATTTATTCTGATAAAGTACCTGATTAACTACCTTCATCTGATAAAGAAAATCTTAGGGTGGATGTAGATAGAAAACTGTCACCTGAGGACCACACAGTGTCTTAGGAGGCTATGCTTCGCTTTCCTGTTTCAGAATTGCTTTTAGATACATAGATGGCAAATTCAATATGACGCTTTTGTGAAAGGTGGCAGGTGACTTGCGTGCAACCATCCACATCTTTTCAGGCAGAGACATGCACACAAAACAAGATTTATATATAATTTATTTGCTCTCTAGCTCGACGTGCTCTGTCGGAAATTGGCTTATTATCCTTTATAATTAACTACCCATGTTTTATATCCATAATGTTAATAAAGCTCCCATTAATCGAATACCTTTATCTTCTAGACGAAGGCCATAACAAAGGGGATACAAATAAGGTTATATCAACACGAAATAGTACACGAAATAATGGCTATAAATTCTATAGGTTTATATTCGGGAATTAACATTGTGACAATGCTGAATTATTTCAAGCCAAAGTTAGACATGAAGAGAAGCGGCCGCGAATAAGGTCAATAGGCCTTCTACAGTTTCATTGAGTCTCATGTTGATGAATACAAGTGTTAGGTGTTCTTAAGGCACACCGAGTAATATGAACTCCCACGTTCTCGCTTAACAGGAGGTTAGTTAAGGCACCAGTTGTCCTTGACTTGCATATTCACTTTCAACGGCTGCCTCCAGCTACTAACTATTCCTTTTTTAGATTAAACACATTTATAATCCCAGAGAGCAGCTTCAGTCTTGGTCAGGTTCATCACTCGTCACGTCCCGATGCTTCCTTCGGTGGCCTCTAATATTGGTGTTTGGAATACTCTGTATTGTTATTTGAAATGCTCTTGTTTTCATGTTTGGAATACTCTTGAACATGGCCCAAATCTCAACACTGTCCGACCCTCCCACTCCACACTACGTCTAATTCCCGGCATTCGTCGGTGTGTGTGTGCATGACACTGACGGGTGTCTGGCACTGTGCCACAGCCCCGACCTGGTGCCGTCTTACACACCAGCACCAACCCTCCCTTTCCTTCCTGTCTTCCTCTCCCACCCCCTCCCATCACCCGCGTATAGAAACTGGTACTTCTTTCCTGCCTCTGATGCCAGATACACTTTCCTTGCGGAGGGGGATGACACGCGGGCCTCCACACCGTGTTCCCACCCGTTATGTTATACAGCTTATTGAAATGTAGAGGAGATAGGGCAATAGTATATTGACGTAACCGGATATGCATCTAGTCGTAAACTGTAAGTGAATCGAGCACAGGGAATCAGTGCCTTACTTTGCGAGAATTCTGGGGCATAGCGTCCCCGCGGCCCGGTCCTCAACCAGGCCGCGGGGATGGAATGCGCGGGAAAATTTGATCGTAGCCACTTCTCTCCACAATTTGAGGAATAAATACAAGACAGAACTTGAACGTCACACGATGTAATAATCGCCAGGTATAGAAGGCTGAGGCTAACTCCCCCATTTCTCCTAGAGTTACCGGACCAGCCTGGCTGTGATGACTATGTGGGCCTTCGGGCTACGAAGACAGCTTCCCAGATCAGGCCATCACCAGGGAAGGTTGGCCACAGGCCACGCAGTGGGAGTAGAACAACTCTTGAAATCGTCAACAGGTACTCACGGATATTGATGCAAAAAAAAAAAACACACACGATTAGTCCAATATAATTCATTTTGTCGGGGGACATGAAGCCTGTATACATACATACATTAGGCTAGTATCGAGCCTCCCCCCCCCTTCCAAAGTCGAAATACACCTCACTCAGGATGTAACCCAGAAAGAGTTGCCCAACTCTTAACTTATTTACCCTGCCTAACCAGGGTACTTACTGACTGCTAAGTGAACAGAGGTACTTATTTACTCCTAGGTGAAAGGAGACGTGCCCAACCATTTTTGTCCCGCCCGGGATTCGAACCCGGTTTTCCAGGGAACCAACCCAACTGTACACCGCATGTTTCACCATTAGTGCACGATCAGTCTAATATAACACACCATTACATGCAATATACGAGAGGAAATTGGCAAAGAGGAGAAGGAGAGCGTCTCTAAATTGCGAGAGAACAGACCAAGATGACATAGGGTGGAGCTGGAAACTCAAGACGAGTCTTAAGAAACGTTGGTAATACACGTAGCCCGTCTGGGAGGTCAACACGTGCAATGCACTAAAGCAGAAGTCGTGGAAGCCACGTCCAACCCCAACTTCAAACACTAATACGGCGCAGCACTCGGACGCCAGGAAAAGTTCAAATCGTAGCTGGTACAACAAGGTTACGAAACATCTCATGATGAGCTGCTCACTCGACAATAATCACTGTTAGGTAAGCACGTGTTGTGTGCACTGCTAATCCCCTTTCATACGTGCACTGCTAATCCCCTTTCATACGTGCACTGCTAATCCCCTTTCACACGTGCACTGCCAAGCCCCTTCAACACGTGTAATGTACCAACAATGCGCCTTTAAGGTTTCCAGAAGTCTGCCAGATCTCCCTTTAAGAAATTTGTCTGCACTCGACGAAGTCATTTCATTAAATGCAATGGTAACGGCCCTGTGGTGCCCTCGGGGCAGTAGGGTGTTACACCACACCACACACCCACGCTACTCTCTGATTAAAACGTGCTTGGTTTCTAATACCTTTTGCTATAAGAAAATATTATGGCAATGGGTAGGGGGATGAACTCGCTTCGCTTCTAAACACGCACGCTACCATTCCGCTTCCACTCCCTCCTTCCCTCATTCTTCTCTCCCACTCCCTCCTTCCCTCATTCTTCTCTCCCACTCCCTCCTTCCCTCATTCTTCTCTCCCACTCCCTCCTTCCCTCATTCTTCTCTCCCACTCCCTCCTTCCCTCATTCTTCTCTCCCACTCCCTCCTTCCCTCATTCTTCTCTCCCACTCCCTCCTTCCCTCATTCTTCTCTCCCACTCCCTCCTTCCCTCATTCTTCTCTCCCACTCCCTCCTTCCCTCATTCTTCTCTCCCACTCCCTCCTTCCCTCATTCTTCTCTCCCACTCCCTCCTTCCCTCATTCTTCTCTCCCACTCCCTCCTTCCCTCATTCTTCTCTCCCACTCCCTCCCTCTCTCATTCTTCTCTCCCACTCCCTTCCAGCAAGTCGCAACAAGAGGGAGACAGGTGGCGTGGCCGCCATGAATCCTTCACCGCTGACACACAATCAGTGCCCCTTTGTTCTCCTGGAAGATGAAGGAAAATAGTTTTACCATGATTGACTGGTGGCTGGGATTATACAGCCACGCCAACTGCCTGGGTTATTGTGTTAATACGATAAAACCTGCTTTTTGTATGGGTATGGATGAACGCTGAAGATATTACACCCTCATGACACGTGGATACATTAATACTATGTCCCAGATACTCAAAGACTTGATTTACTTAAAAATGGAGGATCAGCTAGCAAGGATTTATCGAAGGATTTATTGCATTATATCGTCTCCAAATAATAATAATATAAGCTTGTGTGATGTGTCAATCCCAGCAGCACGCGTGCAGGACCGAGGTATGACTAATGTGATATTTCAGCAATAATTATACCTTAGCAAGTCTTAAGACTATTTTTTTTATATATATACAAGAGTTGTTACATTCTTGTAGAGCCACTAGTACGCGTAGCGTTTCGGGCAGGTCCCTGGAATACGATCCCCGCCGCGAAGAATCGTTGTTACAGCCAAGAACACATTTTACTGTTGAGTTAAACAGAGGCTATAGTTAAGGATTTGCGGCCAGTAAATCCTCCCCGGCCATGATACGAACCCATGACAAAGAGCTCGCGGAACGCCAGGCGAGTGTCTTACCACTACACCACGGAGACTGTGACAGGCTTCTTCGATACTTCAGGCTTGTATCGACGTACCCCCCACCCCCCCACCCTCTCAAGGTCGAATTACCGATCTTTGCCGGAATGAAACCTCATAACAGTTGCTTAACTCATGCGTACCTATTTACTGATAGGTGAATAGAGGCGTTAGATGAAATGAAACTTGCTCAACCATTTCTGTCGCGCCCGGGATTCGAAACCCGGAATTACCATTGGATAGTCGGGAACCAACCCAACTGTACTAACCAACGCTTGAAAACAGTCTAGCTGTCCCACGTCCATTGTCACCCGGTATATCTGTTCCATTGACCACACATCATATTGATGTGTGAGAGGGAGCCGGTCGGCCGAGCGGACAGCACGCTGGACTTGTGATCCTGTGGTCCTGGGTTCGATCCCAGGCGCCGGCGAGAAACAATGGGCAGAGTTTCTTTCACCCTATGCCCCTGTTACCTAGCAGTAAAATATGTACCTGGGTGTTAGTCAGCTGTCACGGGCTGCTTTCTGGGGGTGGAGGCCTGGTCGAGGACCGGGCCGCAGGGACACTAAAAAAGCCCCGAAATCATCTCAAGATAACCTCAAGATATTTCCATAGCAATATGTCTCCAGGTCTTTCGTGAATCGTCTTCGTATCAACTCTTGGTGATGGTCGTGCTGATGGCCACCTGCCATGTGAAGACGCTCTGAGGGGGGGGGGAGGTGTTTCACCTTGATTACTTCTAGATATTGTCTGGTCGATGCTTTCCTTATGGCTTCCTGCCACCTGGCCTCATTCTTCCTCCCACATGCAGGCGATGAGTCACAATAACGGGGCTGAACTATGTTGACCAGACCACACACTAGAAAGTGAAGGGACGACGATGTTTCGGTCCGTCCTGGACCATTCTTAAGTCGATTGAGAGACTTGAGAATGGTCCAGGACGGACCATTCCGTCACATTTGTTGTTGTTATAGATTCAGCTACTCGGAACAAGTTCCAAGTAGCACGGGCTATGGTGAGCCCATAACTTACCTGGCACAGGAGCGGGGCAAGCAGCACGGGCTATGGTGAGCCCATAACTTACCTGGCACAGGAGCGGGGCAAGCAGCACGGGCTATGGTTAGCCCGTAACTTACCTGGCACAGGAGCGGGGCAAGTAACACGGGCTATGGTGAGCCCGTAACTTACTTGGCACAGGAGCGGGGCAAGTAGCACGGGCTATGGTGAGCCCGTAACTTACCTGGCACAGGAGCGGGGCAAGTAGCACGGGCTATGGTGAGCCCGTAGTGGACTTACCTGGCACAGGAGCGGTGCTGTGTTGTGCTGTTATCCTGACCCCTTCCCATTGCTATATAGTCATAATGGCTTGGCGCTTTCCCTGATCATTCCCCTTCCCCCTTTCCTCCCCCCACCCCACAAAAAGAAGGAAAAAAAAGAGAGCAAGGAGAGGGAGGGTGGAGGGGGAGTGTGATCCAGCTGAGGCAGGTGTGTAGGGTTACTGACCTTGCACCTTGAGCCTGGAGTGTAGCCTGGCCACCGCCGTCCTCAGCACCTCCACCTCCTCTGCTGGCCTGGCCGCCCCTTGGGCCAGTCGCTCTAGCGTCACGGCCAGGGCGCTCTCCGAAGACATCTTGGGACAAGTCTTCCACAACGGTAGTTCCAGAGTGCAGGTGTCACGATGGTACCAAGGTCTTGCTGCTCAAAGTATCAAACTGTTCTTCCCCCTCACCTCTATACAGTTATTAATGCATTTCTACACTTTAAACATCTATACAATCGTCACTTACATCTGAACAGAATCAAGGCTGGTGAATAACTTTGGGTGGTGGGGTGGAGAGGGACGGTACGGGACGGATGTCGCAGAGTTACAACTGGAAGTATACACACAGCATGGCCACCAATCACAGCGTGGCATCACACCACAACACACACACACAGGTACGTAACGGTGGAGGGGGAGCAAGGTAGACACACACACGAACACTATGGCGGGTGGTCGGGAACTATCAACACTACTGGGACGGACTATGGTCCACTGGGAAGACTGGATGCCTGGCCACGTTATAATCCAAGAATTGGTGATCCTCTAGCATGAATTTCCAGCTTCCTACTTCCTTCAGCATGACAACATACTTCATCACCAACTTCGGTCTTGAAGGAAAAGGGGAAGTCTGTCACTACCTTTACACACACACTTATAATGGAGAATCATTATTAGTTAAAACAAAGATATCACAAAACTTCTTTCAAATTAGACTCCAGTAAAATATTTTTTCAGATTCAATGTAATAAACTTCAATTTACAAATTAATATTTTCCACAGTTCTCCAGACCTAGAGCGAGAAAAGTTACTGCCGCGACAAAATAATTGGCCTTCTGGGGCGATAATGTACGTGTTCCGTCAGCTTCACACGTACCCAAGATATCTAGGCCAACAGACTTCGATCCTCTCCTGCGAGAGTCGCAACGCGCGCGCGCACGCTGGTACAGGCTCGGGCCACGTGGCAGCCACAAGTTACCGCTCGAAAGCCAACCTCAAGCGCTTCAGAAACGTTCATAAATGTTGCAAGTTGAGCGGACAAAGATCCACAACACCAAAACACAAACGGACTTGTGTAGAATCAGCACTCAAAGCAGCTGCTTACAGATACCTATCTCTTTCCCCTATCGAAGCGAGTCTTGTTTAACTTGCCCCTTGAATACCAACTTTCTTCAGCGTTATTCCCAGAGCGCTAACGTCGCAAACCAGTATCCCAGCCGTAAGTTACCAAGATGTCTCTGTTCATGGGTTTCAGCGGAACTGAAGACCATGCAAGTGTTTTAATGTCCTCTAGTGCAGAGAGAGTTGCAGAGTTGAAGGTCAGAGCAGGTCTGACAAGGAAGCGACGAGTTTGCTGCTGTTGCTCAACAGAGAAGCGCGACAGTTATGAAGAGCGAATGGGGCCCTGACGGTGGTGGCCCTGTGTGCCAGACAAGCTGCCTGACACCAGCCAGGGACGTCAGCAGCGGCAGCGGTGATGTTCGTTCCCGCAGTGGCATCTGCAAAGAGAGGAACCCACGATCAATAAACCGTATCTCACAAGCACCCGCCTCATCCCGCCCTCACACCACCCACGCCCCCGACACCCACCTGCTGCCAATTATATAATTACACACATGCCCACCAGAAAATACATCAGTTTATAACAACAGCAGCAGGATCGTGTGTGTGTCCATCTTGTCGGCGTCTGGTCTGGGAAATAGGGAATGTTGACACAGATGAAGCATCACACAACTGGTGTGTTGGGGAAGTTTACCAGACGCCGCAAGGTTCTTAGGCTTGCAGGATTAAATCTCGAAGTGCCTAGGTATGTTAATATAGAAAGAACTACTTCGGGTAACCGGCGTTACTCGGGGGGACGGAGGCCACATCTTTATTACACGCTATTTTCATCACTGCAACCATCGTCTCTATCCGCGACTTTGTTGACTTGGGTTATGGAGGTCATTGGTCTCCATAAAATTGTAGATCTGACTCCTGATCACACTCTCAAAAACTTTTATTATGTGGGACGTTAGTGTGGCTGGTCTATAATTCTGAGCCAATGCTTTCCTCCCAGTAGGGAAGCATATCTGATGATTTAAGTGCTCTTAGTGCTCCCCTACCTTGTGTAAGGAAGCAATATCTGATGATTTAAGTGCTCTTAGTGCTCCCCTACCTTGTGTAAGGAAGCAATATCTGATGATTTAAGTGCTCTTAGTTCTCCCTACCTTGTGTAAGGAAGCAATATCTGATGATTTAAGTGCTTTTAGTATCTCCCCATTATCTAACCTTTTTTCTCCATACTACGCCGAGTGCCTGTGTTACTGGCATTTTGCATTTCATTATAAATATTGAATTCTACGAGTTTGTACCCGGGGCCGAGTGCCATGCGCATGTTGTCAAATGCGCTTTCAAAATCCGCAGAGTTTGTGTTGGTATTGTGTTCATATTTGTGAAAGTCTGGGCGACTGAGGTTGTACCATTTTCTTTCCTGGAGTGAAAGAAAATTACTTACTTATCACAATACTTATTACGTGATCTAGAGTGTCACTTGTTTGGATAGAAATGTCTGCATGTTGATTCAAAACGACTTTATTCCTTCCTAGGTATATTTAGACATTTTCCTGAGACGAGGGTAGCTGGCATTCAAATACCTTTCTCTTTCCAAAATATTATGTATGCAAAATGCCGAGTCAGAATTTACAATTTATTGAACTTCTACTTCAGTTTCACCCCCTGTCGACGGCCTCAGCTCCTGCACCACTATATATCTGTTTCTCACTCTTCCTGGATGCCTGGCAGGCTTTCAATGAATTAAATTCTTCAGTCACGAGTCATGATATCTAGGAGTTGCTTTAATACATTCCAAGCTGGCAAATCATTGTTGCATACCCACAGTAAAAGGTCTCTCCGGCCGTTAGTACTGCTCACGTCTGTACAAGTGGTGTGCGCGCGCCCCAGCTTATCCTAATCTTGGCACACATTCACACAAACACCAGCTGGCTGGCTTGGTGTAAAATTGATTCAATCGACTCTACTACAGCACAGAACTGGTGGGGAGGGAGGGAGGGTGGGAGGGGGAATGGTGGAGATGGAGGGAGAGGGAGGGGGATGGTGGGGAAGGTCGGAGGTGAGAAAGGATAGGAAAAGTAATGAAGGAGGAGAGAGAAGGAATGTACTTGAGAAGTAGGGAAGAAGACCATCATAGCTAAATTCACAGGAAACTTTTAAATAAGATTTAATGATAAATTCCAAGTAAAACAAAAGTTACGAGGTAGGGTGATGACAGGGAACAAAATACCGTACCAAGATTTGGCAGGTGAGCATGTCCTGTGTACCAAGGGGCCTGACAGCTGAGTGGACAACGCTTCGGATTCGTAGTCCTGAGGTTCTGGGTTCGATTCCCGGTAGAGGCGGAAAGAAATAGGCAGTTTCTTTCACACTGATGTCCCTGTTATCCAGTAAATAGGTACCTGGTAGTTAGACAGCTGCTACTGGATGCTTCCTGTATTGCCCGTGTTTCATCTCGACCAGGCCTCCACCCCCAGCAAGCACCCCGTGACAGCAGACTAACACCCAGGTACCTATTTTACTGCTAGATAACAGGGGGCATAGGGTGAAAGAAACTCTGCTCATTGTTTCTCGCCGGCGCCCGTGATCGAACCCGGGACCACAGGATCACAAATCCAGTGTGCTGTCGGCTCGGCCGACCGGTGTTGTTGGTCTGACAGGCCTTACGAACACAGGTAATCGTCGTCCCATATAGATAAAACCAAACGTAAATACTTCTACACAAATGTAAACGGTTGGGCACATTATATATAAATACCACTACTTGACGCATCACTCCCGTCACTTTTGTTGTTACATCTGGCGGCCTCGAGAATCCTCACGTTACATCTACAATGATGATTGATGAAGATTAAGCCACCCAAAAAGTGGCACGGGCATGAATAGCCCGTAAGTGGTGGCCCTTTTGAGCCATTTCCAGTATCAATAGATGATACTGGAGATCTGTGGAGGTGCGACTGCACCCTGCGTGACGGGAGATGTCTCCCGTGGTGACATCTACAAGATTTGCGGGATCTTATAACAGGGGGGAGGGGGGGGGGCCTCAACTGGTCAGGAGGAGCGCCGCAGGTGGCCGGGAGGTCTACTATGGACACGGTGGAGTGCTGGCATGATTGGCCGGCCCAACAATTGCAAATAAGCAGCATCTCCAATGATGCATTACACACCCGGAAGATGATGCATTACACACCCGGAAGATGATGCATTACACACCCGGAAGATGATGCATTACACACCCGGAAGATGATGCATTACACACCCGGAAGATGATGCATTACACACCCGGAAGATGATGCATTACACACCGGGAAGATGATGCATTACACACCGGGAAGATGATGCATTACACACCGGGAAGATGATGCATTACACACCGGGAAGATGATGCATTACACACCGGGAAGATGATGCATTACACACCGGGAAGATGATGCATTACACACCGGGAAGATGATGCATTACACACCGGGAAGATGATGCATTACACACCGGGAAGATGATGCATTACACACCCGGAAGATGATGCATTACACACCCGGAAGATGATGCATTACACACCGGGAAGATGATGCATTACACACCGGGAAGATGATGCATTACACACCGGGAAGATGATGCATTACACACCGGGAAGATGATGCATTACACACCGGGAAGGTGATACATTACACACCCGGAAGATGATGCAGTACACACCGGGAAGATGATGCATTACACACCGGGAAGGTGATACATTACACACCCGGAAGATGATGCATTACACACCGGGAAGATGATGCATTACACACCCGGAAGATGATGCATTACACACCCGGAAGATGATGCATTACACACCCGGGAGATGATACATTACACACCGGGATAAAGATTACGAGTGCACAAAACAAATGACACATTAAAACACGCCTGCTGAATACAGAGTAAATGTCATTATCAGATAAGGAGTGTATCGTGGTGAACCAGGTGGGGGCGGCGTCTACCACACACACACACACGCACACACACACACACGCACACGCACACACACACACACACACACACACACACACACACACACACACACACACACACAAGCCTTCATATACTGAAGCGGGACCAATGAGCCAGAGCTCAACCCCCGCAAGCACAACTTGCTGAGTACTGACCCATTCATCATAACACGTCGAGCGGCTCCATCATATAAATTATTTCCTTCCAATAATTTTAGTCGGTCCAAAATGTATATAATACCGTCAAACTTGTTCAATGAGCGCCCTCAGGGGCTGGGCCACCGGAACCCTATACACTGCTCACGAGAAGTTAGCGAGGGTGGGAGAGTGAGCGAGAGAGCCGGGCTATAGCGAAGTGTTGAGAGGAAGCGAGGACAGCGCGCACAACCCGATGGGCGAGCGTCCACCAACTCCGACCTGCCTGCTGCTCCACCAGGCCACAACTGGCCTCACCACCACCACCACATTGCTTAAACGTCTCTCTCTCCCTCTCTGGGTAGTGACGTCGACGCCGTCACCGCTGACACTGGTGGCAGTAGCTGCGTGGTCAGCGTCATACCTGCCCAGTCGGTCTGGGGGGGACGCTCTCGCCACTGGCACAGGCAGCAAGGAGGGTGTTACCCTACCCTGCATTGTCAGTCAACAATGCCGGACACCACTGAGGTAACCAGTGGGTGACTCCTCTCTACACGCTCGTCGCATAAAGTGAAACTCACACTATAATGACGGTAACAATTAATTTCTAAGAGCCCTGGGAGAGCCAAGCCTCCCTTAGAACTGAAAATACGAGCAAAAAATATATAAACCATTAATATTACAATCACGTATTGACTACACTAAAATATTGAGAGCATTCAGATACTTGTTACCATAGTGATGACCGACAAGGATGACGACCCTGGAAACACAAACCGTAACTGTCTCTATTTTCCGCTTGTTACAACTTGTAATAAAGTTGTTATATCTTGGCTTAACGTGTTTATGACGTATTAGAACGTTGTTACAACTTTCTATATTGGTTGTTATAACTGGTTAGGTGTTAAAACTTGTTCGAACGTTGTAGAAACGTCGTAGTTTCGCTGTGTGTTTGGCGGGAATGCAGGCTAGGTAACGCCTACTGCCTTCATTGCTTTCAGACGTGCATGGCTCCCCCCCCCCCCACACACACACGAGAGAACGTACACATATACACACATGAAGCCAGATGGGTTAATATTGCACATAAGATGCCAGAGTTTCCACAGCAGATCACATAAAATTATCATCTATATCAAATATTGGCTAAAAACATGTATTATCTTACTAACATTAATTGTCACCTGATAGGGAACTTTGGGCATCCTACCTCCCCTACCTCCCCTACATCCTTCCCCTCCACACGCCCTTCCCCACTATTACATTCCTTTCATTTATTATGTCTTTTCTACTATTTCCCCTACTCCTTCCTCCACTCCCTCCCACTACAACCGGCACAATACTTCCCTACCCCTCGCCACCCCCTTCCCATTTCCTGCTCCTTTTCCACCTTACCCGTCTCCAGCCGGTCATCGGCTGGGGATAGATCCCCAGAGATAGGCTCCCCAGCCCTCCCCAGGTGGGGAGCCCCTACCCCAGACCCCCAGAGATAGTCTCCCCAGCTGCGCAGCTTCCACCGCACATTTCCCAGGCACGCAAATTGCCCCGCGCTGCTCCCTAAGCCAGACAAACGACCCGGAAGCCTTATTCAACGAGAGAAGAGTTCAGAATTAGTGAAAACAAAACTCTGGGGCCAGCATAAAGCACAATTATCCAGCCACGATGTGTAAGGTCAGGCGGGGCCAGCCACCGCTGCTTCTTCCTGAGACAGCCGAGCCCACCTGGATAGTAATATAATTTTGGCTGGAGGGAAGAATTTATTGGGCAGTGAGCATACTGTCATAGTAGCAAATGCAAAATCCCTAATATAATGGAATCCTGTTGTTGAGTCTGTCGTTTAATGTCCCCAGACGGAGCTCAGACGTACTCAAGTATGTTTATTGAGACAAGAAAGAAATAATCTCAAAGGGATAGAGTAGCTTAGGCTATTTCTACCCCCCCCCCCCCAAGACGCACTCCACTGCCTCAAGTGCTAGTCTTGCAATGTATCAACAATAACAAATATACAAGCACACTTTACCTTGCATGTGTAATTGTTAGTTTAATTGTTAGACTGGGACTTTCACCATTGAAAATTATAAATTATGCCAGTTAGCGAGACATTTTATGTCAAGTACAGCTCGCCAAAATTAAAATCCCGCGGTTTGATTCCACATGTCAACGCAAGTTTTGGGGTTGGCGAATGTTAAAAAAATATTTGACAAACTTTTCACCTTGAGCAGTTAACTGAGTACATGCTCCGCCCAGGTACACGTAACAGGATGGACGACTCTGAATTATTTGAGTGTTGAACACGCTGCCATGGCAGTATTTTCACCCTTCCTCTGATTTTCCCAGACAATTTCTCAAGTCACAATCGACTTGAGAATGGTGCAGGACGGACCTAAACGTCGTCGTCCCTTCACTTTCTAGTGTTTGGTTTGGTCAACATATTTCAGTCACGTTATTGTGACTTCTCGTCTGCAATTTCTAAGGCTTTGAAGGAGAGGTGTGAGAGAGTCCCTGTCACGGCTTACCTTGTGCTCCATCCTACGAGTCGTCAGTAGCACAATAAGGACAGTGGGAGGCGAGCTATCGTAGCGTGAACATGGCTCTGAACTATAAGTTACTTTCATTCAAACTAATAAAATATTGTAGGCGGTCAAAGCTCCCGTTACTGGGTTCAACACAGCCTTCAGTGCAAAGATCAAGTCATTTATTTTCCGCTTCGCTGTTAATACGGCAGATAAATTTGTATCATTTTTGGGAAGAGAGCGGGAATTATGTTGGAATTCTGATCCTTGCCCAGTCAATGCCAAATCCTACAGCCGTGATAAGAGCAAGTCAGCTTGGAAAGCGTACCAGCCACAATCAACCGCACCGAGAACTAAGACATATATCAGTCATAAAATATCCCTATACAAAAAAGTCAGTGGGACCTCCCCCTCCCCCAAACCTCCAATCCTGGACCATAACAATGCCAAAACGCCAGACACAGACACCTCCCCGACCTCGACTCCCAGTACCACCACCAGTACCGCGGAAGGCTTCCCAGGTATGTTAATCCCGGGCAATCTCCACACAGCTGACCTCGTGTGACCGTTACTAGAGACTTCTCTCCCCAGGGTGCCAAATTCTGGTCTGGCGCATCAAGGCTACGACACGGGGGGAGGAAGAGAAGGGAATTTTCAGATCCTGAATTTTCAGATTCAGTTGGAATTCAGATCCGAATTCCAACATAACTCCCGCTCTCTTCCCAAAACTGATAACAATTTACCATTTAATTAATGTGACGAAACATTAATTAGTTTCGTCACGCGACTCGACGCCGCCTTGATCAGGTACCCAGCCAGCAATACCATTGAGGCTTTCGTGCCATACCTTGCGAGGGGCTACCAAGATGGTGGTTATCCCGAGTACTACAGCTAATGCATGACCACAATACACTCGCCTCTGAATGATTGGCATCCCACCTGTGTTTCTACACCACACAAATATAACCAACACCTGCCCAATACAGGCAACACCTCCCCAATACAGGCAACACCTCCCCAATGCAGGCAACACCTCCACAACATAAGCAACACCTCCCCAACATAACCAACCCCCCCACAACATAACCAACACCTCCCCAACATAACCAACCCCTCCCCAACATAACCAACACCTCCCCAACATAACCAACCCCTCCCCAACATAACCAACACCTCCCCAACATAACCAACCCCTCCCCAACATGACCAACACCTCCCCAACATAACCAACCCCTCCCCAACATAACCAACCCCTCCCCAACATAACCAACCCCTCCCCAACATAACCAACCCCTCCCCAACATAACCAACCCCTCCCCAACATAACCAACCCCTCCCCAACATAACCAACCCCTCCCCAACATAACCAACCCCTCCCCAACATAACCAACACCTCTCCAACATAACCAACCCCTCCCCAACATAACCAACCCCTCCCCAACATAACCAACCCCTCCCCAACATAACCAACCCCTCCCCAACATAACCAACCCCTCCCCAACATAACCAACCCCTCCCCAACATAACCAACCCCTCCCCAACATAACCAACCCCTCCCCAACATAACCAACACCTCCCAACATAACCAACCCCTCCCCAACATAACCAACCCCTCCCCAACATAACCAACCCCTCCCCAACATAACCAACCCCTCCCCAACATAACCAACACCTCTCCAACATAAGCACTTCTCCAGCCGCCATGGGTGGGAGGAGAGATGGTTTAGGCAATATATGGAGGTGGTGAGAAGTGACATATCGGGTTCGAAGGACCAAAGTGTTGGTGATGTTAGCCCATAGTCACCACCGCCCGGGGTAAAACCCCTTCACTGAGATCGTACCCAGCACCTGCCAGAGGGCATGGCTTCTATGGTCTGGGCGGCGGGTGGCACTGTGCGGGTGGGTGGCACAGTGTTGGGGGGGGGGGAGGGTGGCACAGTGTGGAAGGGTCCACCAAGCAGATTATCCCTCCATCTTTGAGTCACACTGAGACACAACAAGACAATATTCACGTTAGACTGCATAAGCTTGTGTCACGAGGCTGATGACGCTTTGAATCTAGATTTGTATATAATATTTTAATCCAACAAGATGGCGCCTGGTAGCGCTCTGACGTCCCATCTGTGATGTCAAGTTACACGACCTACTGTATCTAGGGGAAGGTGGCCTTTGCCAGTAAGCAAGACAGTGACTGGGCCGTGGCATCCATCTTGCTAAGCAAATTAACTTACCTCACAAACTAAACCAAGTTGTCCCCATGTACTATTTATAATTATTTTTAAACAAGCCTCCAAAAAGTAGGACAAATTAACGTGCTGTTAGAGGTGTGGCAGTGACCTGTTACAACTCTATCAGTGAGTCACTATATATTTTGCTAACTTTTCCTCCACAATGAACACTTGTGTATGATTGATGATGCTTCACTGTGTGTTACACTTAACACACCTCTCCAACCGTTCTTGTGTCACCTGCAGATGATCGCGCGGGAAGGACAATACGTACGTACTGTGAATACCTCGTACGTACGTACGAGGACAATACGTGAATACGTGCTGACATCACCAGTGTTAAGTTTATGTTAACCTGTGGCAGCGTGCTGTACAACTCCATTTGTTCCTCATGCCGTTAATATCCTGGGGCCAGATTCACGAAACAGTTACGCAAGTACTTACGAACGTGTATATCTTTCCTCAATCTTTGACGGCTTTGGTTACATTTATTAAACAGTTTACACGCATGAAAACTTCCCAATCAACTGTTGTTATTGTTATAAACAGCCTCCTGGTTCTTCGGAGCT